TTTTGAAAACAGTAATTGTATATATATTTTTTAGGATGGGTGGGGGGGGGGCATACGCCCTCCCGTAATAGAAACACCACTTGTAGACGTAAGATCGTGTATAACATGATTTTATATTGTATACTAATTTTACACATTTCAGTAAAGATATAAATATAAAATCAAGTCGTTTTAGATACTAGGGTGTATCAAACCACCACCACCACACCCACCTCTATTGCTAACATACACCTCTCATATATTTTAATGGTTAAGTATAAATTTAAAACAATTTGTTTTAATATTTATATTGCTTATGTCTTTAAAAAAAACTTTTTTTCTGAAAAGTGTTCAGTTTCGTACGGGCATGGTGGTGGTTTGGTGCCCTCTCTGTCCGTAAAAAATTCAAACAATTTGAGAAAAAAAGTAAAAAATTCAAACAATTTGAAATTTTTACTCATGTACCTATTAATAAATATCTATATTTATTTATTTAACAGCATCCATAATCAGCACATAAATTACAAAAAAAAATTTGTGAATTTGCTTCTTAAAAAACGTGCATACTTTAGTTCCAGTAAAAAAAATATAAATATATTAAAATCTCTAACTTGAAATTAAAAACTTGTATAACTTCTCTTCGTTAAAAAGAACTATGGCGTTCTGTAAAGGTTATACTAAAATAAACTAAATATACGGTTAAAGTCCGTAATTTAAAGTTACGGAACTTTTCCGTATCATAAATACGGTCAAAATCCCATACAAAGATGTGATTATTTCAAAGTATAGGTAAAAGACCGTAATTTATTAAAAACGATTTTTTCCGTAACAAAACAACGGAAAAAGTCTGATAAATACTACGGAGTTTTTTTTACAGTATATGTCATGCATGGAAAGTTTGGCCATATGTCACAATACTCATTGATAATTAAATAAAAGAAAACAGAAATTTAAAACCTAAAAGCACGAAAAGAATTTATTGAACTTACACGAGTGTAGAGAAAATGATTATCGAGTTTATATAAAAGAAATCTTTTTTTCTATTAATAAAATAATACAGTCATTAAAAATTTATAAGTTGAAATGTTGTAAGAAAAAGATGCCCAGTGTGACTCCCTAAAAAGTAGCATTAATCTAGTAGAGCGTCGATCAGAGTGTTTTAATTTAATTTTGAGATAAAAAAACATTAAAATACTCAATACTCAAAATTACAAGATACCTGGTTCATTTTTGTCCCATAGTTAAGTGCAAAAAAATATTGATGTGCTTCAATTAATTGAACGAACGCTCAATTAAAGCCACTGTCACTCAAATCGAAGCAAAAATACGCAGTGGAATCAATACATTTTTAAAGAGTTCCCCAAGTTTTATTTCATAAATTTTGTTTAACAAGTAGAATGGGACAAAAGGTTTCTCTCTAAAGTTTGTAGTATATATTTATTTTATGTAAAGTAATTCTTTAGTCAGTTCATTTTCAGACTTGTCACATGAATATTTATGCAAAAAATGGGAGCAGGTACTCTTGATTTCTGCTTCAGACAGTTTTTGATATTCCCATTAAAAAAATAGTATAGAACCAAGATTTAAACAATAGCTTTTCCAGTCCAGGGTTAATTGACAGGGTTAATAGTACATGCGAGATAAAACTCGCATCTACTATTTTTGGAGACAATGAACATTTTGTACTGTAAATATATATGTTTGTGCAAAATTTGCTTTGAGGCGTAAGAACAATGAGATGGGAAAAAAAACCCGGTTAACCAAACCAAAAAAAGGCTTTTTAAAATTTCTTCGGGTAAACTTTATTTGGTCAACCACTGGTATTGACTCCCCTGGGGCCGGAGCCTCGAGCAACTTGTTCCGGGTGACTTATCCTTTGCACGTCGATGCTGCTAGGGCTATTGCTCTTGACATATCTTGGACTTTCAACAAAGTTTGGCATGCTGGTCTCATCCATAATCTTGCTTTATATGATGTATTTGGGAAAGTTTTTGAGATTATAAAATCGCTTCTTTCTAACCACATTATTATAGTCGTTTTTAAAAGTCGACACGATTTTTTATTTCCAGTCACTTTAGGGCTACCCCAAGGTTTTATCCTTGGTCCTGTTTTGTTTCTTGTCTACATTAATAATCTTGCTGACAATCTTACATTTAAAGTGGCTCTATTTGCTTACAAATTAACTTTATACTTCTGTCTAGGGAAAAAATATTTTCTTTTCAATTGCTTAGAACAGGCTATTATTGGTAAATTATTATTGTGTTTAGTGGATTTGCAGTGGACTTATATAGGCATTTTTTTAGCGGTTCGTTGGAGTTTTGCTCTTCGGTTACTTAGTAGACTATTAGTAACAGCCGCTTTAAACAGAAAGCCGATAGCTTTTCAGCATGTTAATAGTGGCTCGCTATCGACCGACGACATTTGGCGGCTGCAATTAATGATCCACTAAAAAACCAATGAGCAAAAATACAATGGACCGCTCAAAATAGGTCCACTGAAATTTCGCTTTAGAATGTTTGCTGGGATCTTACCTATTGCAATAATACACAGAGAAGTACTAAATTTAGTAACTTTAAAATAAAACTTTAATTACCAAAATGCATGAGTGGATTATATTTGGTGTTTATAGAACGGTTGTTACTAAGTTAAGGAAACATAATGCCCTCAATGTTTATAAACTTAATAAACACCAAGTTTTGCTGTTTATGTTGCTATTCTAAACAAAACACGAAATATCTCCTAGCAAAGCATGGTTTATCTCCTAATATATTTCATTCTTTCTTTAGCGTAATTTCTTATAAACTCCCCACAATTTTATAAATGACAGCTTTGTTATAACAAGATCTTATTTAAAAGTAAGCTTTTTTAAAATACCATATTGTGGACCGTTTCTTAGGAAAAGTTTAAAAAAAAATTAAATCGTCCAAAGCTATTAAATTGTGTCAAAATCAAAAATCAATTTTTTGTAGTATAAAGACATATAAGTTTGAAATTGAGAGAAATTAATTTTGAATTTAAATAAATTGAAACTAGAGTTGTGGCTAGTGGGTCGGAGGCTATCCCTCCCTCCTCCTCCCTCCCCCTCCCTCCACAAAAGAATAATAATAATAATAATAATAAAAAAGTTAAAAACTTTCCCCTTGATATTGGGGAAAAAAAAATTTAAAAAGGAAGATCCTTAAATTTAACGGGTTCCTAAATTCTCTGCCCTTCTCTCCTTATAATAGGGCTCTCTGAAGAGACTTAGTAACTTTAATTTATTTATTTTTCTTAATTAAAGTAACAACATTAATTTTTTTATTTTTAACTTCAAGTTACAAAATAGAGACACATTTAAAGATTATATATATTAATTAATAAAAAAAATTATATAACTTTTTAAATAAATAATATTTTTAAATAAAATTTCAAGTCGTATATATATAATTTTTGCGCATTAAAAAATTTTGTTATTAAAAAAATTAACGCATTTGTTGTTAAAATCATCGCGTTTCATTTATGGAAAAATTTTAAAAACAAAGATTTTAATGTTATAGATAACTTTCTTTCGTTATTCTGTTTCATTTTACAATAATACTTTACTTTTTAGAGCGTGTATTGCTGGATTCTTCTCTCCCATTTGCCTCAAACTGTTTCAGACACTGTTACAAATCTCCGTAGATTATATAGAACTGATAAAGGAGGAGTTTTTCAAATAGATTTTTTTTACTCTACTTAAAATTAAAGTTAAGTCTTTATAATTTTTATTTCTGCATAACGTTCTTTTTCTTACTCAGTTTTTTATTTTCTAAATTTTTTATTTCTACTTTTTGTTGATTTATGATGGAATTTAAACGTCGTAGACTTACTTTCTGTTTTATATTTAATTACGGAGGTAAAAAAACTACTGTTTAAACATAAGTTAATTTTTGTGTGTGTGTTTATTTGGTTTCTTACGATACGCGGCGAAAATATTTCCATATTAGTTCTTTACTCATACGTTTAGTCTAAAATTCTTGCTAATTTGAATTCGTTTAACATCCCGTTAAAACGTAGAAGTAAGATTTAAAAAATGCAACAAAGAGGATGGCATATCGCACAAATCAATCCTCATAAAATATTTCTTGACATTTTTTCCTTTATGTCATAATTATTACTCATTATTAAAAACATAGTTATATAATAAAATTAAAATAATTAAGCGTTTCAGTTCACCGTATTGGTTTAAAGCTTCGTAGCTCATCAAACGGAGTTGTTTAATGAACCCCCGGTAGGAAATATAAATTTGAGATCCCATTTTGATATGAAAACAAATGCCGACAAAAATCCTCAATAAAATGATCGCTGGTGGAGCTTTGTATCGATTAAACTAGCAGTTATTTTATTTCTAAAGTTTTGTAGTTTTAATTTGCAATACATTGTGAGTTTGCTTTTTTGTTTTCATTCTATTTCTTTTGCTTTTAGCTATGTCATCAGGCGCATTTTTGTTTATTTTTGAATACATTAACAATGTTTTGAGCTTGAGCTTTTGTGCAGCAGATAATTTTTACTCCAAAAAATAATTCGTTTGTCATTGCGCTTCGCCAAATTTGCAATAGACAACAGCATGTTTTTTTACTAGATTCTATCAGTTAGGATTTGTTTACAGATAAACGCAAGGTCTTATATTTTCAATTAAAGACCTTTGAGCTTGGCACCTTTTTTTTGCTAATAATTTTATTTATAAAATAAAATTGTTTAACTGCGTTGTTCCAATTGATCTTGCAATGCAAAAAGTTTTTTCCAAATAAACTAAGTAAACAAAGTTACTTTAGCAGTTTTGAAGTACACTTTTTTTTTAAAAAAAAGGCAAAAGTATGACAAGTTTTTCCCATTTAAAAATCATTAATGCAAATGTTTTCAATGTTCTATTAATAATCAAATGCACCAACTAAAAATTGTATTTCCGGAATTTATTGAAACGCATAAAGTTTTCTACAAAATCTTAAATAGAATTTTACCTAACTTTATTCTATATTACTCACTTTTTGCTAAACTCACTTTGAGCTGTATTTTCTGCAGCAAGTCTGTTTTCAGACTAGAAGATCAGGGAGTCATATATGGTACCTGACAATATTGCAGCAAGCATTGACAAAAGCTCAAATATGCTCTTTTTAATTTAAGACTTGCAGCTGGAGTTTAAAGTTGTTAAAGACATTTCTGCAAAAGCTAGCTGGGTTGATATTTTTGTATTGATATAAGATTTTGAGCTAGATTATTTTAAAAAATGTTTTCAACTTAAACTTGATGAGTTTTAAAAAAAGTTTTTTGATACAAATTATATAATGGCTGGTGGGTTACCCACCAAAGATATGTTCCAAAGCTTGTTTGAAAATAGGATTGGCAGTAGTTTTTGCAATAGAGATATTAATGAAAATATATTTGGAGAAATGAGAGGAATAAATAATAAAGGTAGTCCAGATTCAGGATGGATGTTTCCTGGTTTAATTAATCCTGAACTATTTCCAGCATTTTTTAATAATCCAATACCTACACAGAGCTCAGTTTTTAATATGCCTAACAAACAATTCATTGAGAAAAGCCCTCAAGACACAAGGAATCAAGAGTTTACTCATTCTTCTCAATTTACTCATCATAATCTATTTAACAATCCAGATGGACATTTACAAAATAAAACAAAGTTGTATGAACTGAACAATAGAAAACATCAGCAAGTTTTTGAAAATCGTCAGGAAAAATGTCAGAATAATTTATTTGGCTATAAATTTTCAGATGTTCCGTCTGGTTATCAAAATGGATTTCATCTTTACTCTGAACCATCTGGTATTCATAATGCTCATTTGAAGTCCGCTTTTAGCTACTCCATTTCACCAAATAACGTACGAGAGCGTCGCTTGAGTTCATCAAGTGATAATATGAAACAAGATATCACAGTTACTGCAGGCACTCCTGTAACAGAATCACGTGGGATTCCAGAATCATACATTCAACAGCATCATCAAAAGCAGTTTCATTACAATATGAGAAGCCCAATGTTTACAAACAATGATTCACAACAAATGCAAATTGCCTTTGCAACTGCTGCAGCTCAAATGAGCTATCTTTCTTTACTAAAAAATAATGATAAGTTTTTGTTAAAAAGTCAGTCACAAAATAACCAGGATTTAATGCGTAAATATCCTGATATGTACACTTTTAATCCATTAGTTTCACCTGTAGAACAAAATAACAATCACCAAAATGTAGATGTTTTGAATATAAAAACTGTAAACTCAAACAATAAACCAAGTAATGAGTTATATGCAAATACTGAAAAATCTCGTTTATCAGTAGATTGTAACATTTCTACTCCATCTAGTTATAAGTTTGCCTCATCAACAGGTAATTAAGGCTTAAATTTTTAACAATACGCGCTTTTATAGTGTATAAAATTATTTTAAGTTTTATTTTGGTATTCTTTTCTATTACATTTGGTCTTCAATATTTTAAATAAAGCAGGTATCCAGCACGTTGCAGAAACTGTATTGTCTCATGCTGATGAAAAGTCAAATCAAAGCATTCCAATAACAACTCCAATAACATGTTCTGTAAAAGTTTTTAATGGTAATGATGCAGATTCAGAAACAATGAGAAAATCAACAAGACCAAGTCACCTAGGTAATAATTTTGTTTTACTTTGCATTTAGTTTTATATGTATTATGTACAATAATACTAATAACTGTTGATCTAGAATAAACCTCAAAGCAGATAATATAAACTTATATATAAAAGGTTTGTTTATTAAATATTAAGAAAACCAGAAATCATTTCATTAGGAGCCATTTAGCAATTAAGGATTAATCTGCCTAATAAGATAGTAAACTATGTATGTCCAAATAAATTCAAATTATTTAAAATTGTATTAAATTATGATATAAATAAATAAAAGGTGTTTTTTTTAACACTCCAATAATAGAATGATGTGATAAACATAAAACAAGCAAATAAAATTCATTGAAAGTAGTTATGATTGAATTGATATAATTTGTCAGGTATTATTGTATCTCTTCCAGCTTTACAGGAAGAAATTTTAATTTTCAGGTTTTTTAAATTTTATAGAAATATATATATATTTTTCTCCCAATCAGCGGAATCAAGCTCCTTTACTATTCAAACAAATTAATAAAAGATTTTTGAGACTGAACAATGGAATACATTCCAGGAATATGTTTTGCATGTTATTTAATTCCTAAGTTGGAATCAAAGGTCAATCATAAAATTTTCACATTCATTTTAAATGAAGAAAATTGGTTTCAAAGATGATATTTTAATTATGTATGAATTTTTTAACATCGGTTTATTTACGTTTTTGCAATTAAATTTTGCAATTGCGCTTTTTTTAATGAAAAAATTTAAAATATTCAATATTTACTAATTATTTCTCGTATACTCTGCTAATATATTTTGCAGACTTAAAGATAAAGGGTAAAGTAAAAACAGTTTCTTTTGACCCTAATATATCTTTTTTATGTAAGTTCACCTTACATAAAAAAGATCTATTCTTAGTCAATGTATCTAGTAAATGCATTGACTGATGGTTAGAGCTGAGCTTCACCTGCAGTCAATGTATTTACTGAAACGCTATATATATATTGCTAATGATACCATTCTAAAATATATAGGAATAAATAAAGGTCTGCTTTATTTCAGTGGAGTGTCATTAATGATATTTCATGCTTTATAAAAAAGCCAGAGGAAAATTATGCAGCTCTTATTATGCAGCTTGTAAATTTTAAAAATAAATATTAAAAATAAATTAATTTTTTTTTCTAGACAAATAATTTTAACATTTTTAGTTGAGCATTTAAATAGAGAGTTTTTTTTTTCTTTTCTTTAACATAAACTTTATCAATAAAATAGTTCAAGCTCTTTTCTCACCAACCAAAATGTTTTTAAATAATTTTTATAGACATTTTGAATGCATGCTGGATTTTATGCTAATTCAGCAATTTTTTAAATGATCTTTTATTATCAGCTCCAACAAGCTAAAGTGCAAGGATCAATGCACTATTTAAAACCAAGCAGCTCAATGCTGAGCATTTTAAGATAGTTTTGAAACCATTCTGTTTGTTTTTTTTGTGTCAAATATTATGTTCAACTACTGGTTTGTTTTTAAGTTTAATGCTTCATTAAGTTTTTTTTGATAAAAATGTAAAAAAATAATCAACTGTAAATTTAAAAAAAATATTAAGTAAAGTCAAAATATAAAAAATGAGTTCAAATAAAAAAAAAAAAAAATTAAAATATAAACCTAAAAATTTTTAAATAGCCTCTCATTTTGTCAAATAATAAATTATGGTTGCCCCCATCAGATCAGTCATGGACAGGTAACAATAGCACCAATGTTTGGCACTTTTTTTAAGCCTTATCTATGAGACACATTAAATACATACACATACATTGCATTTTAAGATAGTCACATCCTCAATATTGTGTACATAGACATATACTATATATAATAGTTATATATCCAATATATTATTCTTTTTTATATTACTTCTTGCTCTTCATGCAACCTATAATTTATTGTTATTTATTCTTTAAATTATTTAATTTTTTTCTTTTAAATTGCTTTTTGTTTTAGGGTCTAATTTTGTTCCACAAACACAATTTCTTTCTGTTAATGTTAGTCATGGTACGCCAGGATCTGATAAAGATAGTAACACTTCTTCAGTAAGTCCTGTGCAGAATAGCCCCTATGGAAATTCAGAACGTCAAAGCAGTCGAACACCTAGTCCTCAATCAGATCGATCTAAGTTAAAAACAGAGAATACTTGTTTGCAATGTCAAAAACATTTCAGTAGCTCAAGTGCATTAGCTAAGCACAAACTCATACATAGTGATGAACGTAAATATGTTTGTCATATATGCTCTAGAGGCTTCAAACGTCAAGACCATTTGTATGCATTTTTTTAGTTTTTTTAATTTTTTTAATTTTCTTTCATGAAATATATCTGTGATAGGTATGTTTAATAAAATTTTAATATTCAGAAGTAATGTTTTAGAAATGGTCATATGATTACCCATAGAGATAAAAAGCCTTATGAGTGCCACTTTCCAGAATGTAGGAAAAGTTATTGTGATATGCGGTCATTAAAAAGACATCTTGAAAACAATCACGGTAGTCCTATTGGTGGAGCAACACCAGGGTATTTGGCTGAAAATTCAACTTTATACCCAGCTTTTCCAACTGTATCTAGATCTAGTGATATAATTCATAGACCATATTTGAAAGTAGAATCAGATAAACGTCCTCAATCAAATGAACCTGTTCGCCCATCTAGTGCCCCAACTGCAGCCCCAGAGCCACAACGTATAATAAGAACTAGACGTAGCAGCAGTGTTGAAGATCATAGTATGAGCCTTGATCCTGATTTGTTAAAAGAGTTTGATTTACGGAAAAAATCAAGACAAATGGCTAAAGAACTTCGTGATCATGAACCAATACAGTTAGGTAGTTTTTCTCAGTCGAATTCGTGTGCAACCTCAAATCATTTTATTATGTCAACAGGTGTATCAACTTCAACTGAGGCTAGTTACTCAAGAAACAATGATTATGCTAGAAGTAGTGAAAAATATGAACAAAGAAGTTTTGAACACCATCAAATACCCCATGTTACACATAGTAAAATATTTTCACCAGGACGAGTCATAACTCACCAAGAAAACAATCATAACTTGTCAAAAGATAAAACTGATTATGTACAAGCCCATTTTCCAAGTATTTCTCAAAATATGCCACCTCAGTTGAATCCTCGTTTTGCATGGCACCCACATTATTCAGGAAATCGTCAAATTCAATCCCCTTGCACATCAATGCCCTATCTCATGACTAAACCTGTATTTAGACCTTATTCTCCTCATGGTTTGTGTCGATCGCATGATGACTTTCCTTCTATGCCTAGAAATGAAGCATCTACACCTAACAAAAATGATCATGATCCAGGGGAACAGGCTGTGAGTACATTTCTTCAAATGCAATATTTTTTGAAAGAAAGTTATGCTCTTGGACACAAAAATCACACACCAACCGATCCTACTGCTATTGCTATAGCTACTGCAAAAGAGCATATTGACTACAGACAACCTTTTCATGCAGCAAGAGATAGCTACTATGGCATTCAACCTTACAATGCAGAGTGGCAGACTGTAAGTAAAATATTTGACAATTTAATGATTTTCACTATGGAAATAAATATTAATATTTCAAGTAATACATTCAAAGTTTTACCCTTTTTATTAAAAAAAAGGGCAAAACTGTATATATATATATATATATATATATATATATATATATATATATATATATATATATATATATATATATATATATTTCTCTTTTATCTAATATCAGATTTAGAGAAAAGATTTTTTTTCTATTTTATTACATTTATTGAAAGACATTTTGACATCTCCTAACTTCAATCTATTCTTCTATTTTTACAATTTAGTTTTATTTTAATATAATTTGTACTGTTTAAACATGATTATTTTTTAAATACTTTATACATTAGGTTACAAAGAATGATCCAAGTGTGCAAGATGCCAGTTATCACTCATTTTATCATAAGCAACAATTAAACTCACAAACAGAAAGTAAAAAAGATAGTTACCAAGCAAGTCAAAGTACATCAAATCAATCACAATATTCACTTTTTAACGTAAATGATCGAAACATAGAACCATTTAAAGTGAATAAAGAAAGCAATGTAGAACATCGCCTTGGATATACTTTACAACAGTCAAATGATAAAATTAGACAATTTGATCAATCAAAAAATTTTGATCCGTTGTATATAACTGTAAATCATAGTCTTGTACCCCCACGTCAAAACAATCAGCCTGCATTTGAGTCTAAGGTTAAAATAGATGAAACTTTTAATCATATAACCTCACCAGTGTCTCCAAATAAAAAGCGCTCTCGTCCTAGTCCAATTGTCATTCCTGTGCTAACCAATCGATCAAATTTTACTGGACCATCATCACCAACATGTGGTTTTCAAAGCGTCGCAAAAGCAGTATATACTCCTCCTGCTATGTTAAGCCCACAAAGTATTTTTTTTAATCCCCAAGCCACTCCCAAAAATGTTGTTCCACAAGCTCCAGCTCGGTATCTTTTATCATCTAGGAGAAGCAGTAAGTTTTAATATTATTACAACTAGGAAAATTTTTTTTTGAAATTAAAGTGTTATGAATTTATTTAAATTAAATTTATGCCTTAAAATAATTAAAAAATAATTACAAAGTTATGAATTGTATTTCTTTAGCAAGTATAGATCAGCGTGATTTATCAGTTACTACAAAAGCATCGCCAGAAGACCAAGGAGTACCTGAGATTCATGAGCCGTAAGTATCTTTTTTTGTCATTAAATTTGGAAATTATCTTGCTTGATAATATTTGTTTAAAAACTAATTACATTTTTTTGTCTTTACAGAAAAATTAATATTGGTATTCAGTTTCAAGCAGCCCTGCCAAATATTTGTATGATTTAAATTTTTTTTAACTTATAAATTTTCAATGTTAGCATTTTTAGACTAATTTGGTTTCTTAATAAAGCAAAACAATTGTTTTTAAATTTTTGGCTTTAAATTTCAAAATTAATTTTATATTAGTCATAAATATAATATTCTATAGTTTATTTATGTTGCCATTTTTAGCGGATCGTTCTGATGCCCAAAAAGATATTCATCGTGCAAGTCTCATGTGGTCTCCACTTAAAGCAGATGTGTCTAAAGATGCAGAAGGTTTGGTTCTAATTTGATACATTTTTTTGCTTTCTTTTCTGATTATTTTTTATATATAAGTTGATAATAAAATTGTTCTAATTTGGCTAATTTATGTAATAATGTTTTTTAGTGGATTCCTATTTGGAGATGGCATGCTCACTTGGCTTATATGGCGGATCTAATAACAAAGAGTATGCTTTGCATATTTTACAAAGAACAAGAGGCAATGTTAAAGTATGTTGATTTGTTGTTACACTTATTATAAAAACCTTTAGTGTCAAAATATAATTAAAAATAAATAAAATTGTAGGAAGCTGTACGATTATTATTATCAAGACGACATATACTTCGTGCTGATGATCCAAATGCAGATTATCACTATTCTGGTTCTGTAAGGTGGACAGCTAAAGAGAGGTTAACATTTCGGCAAGCATATCGAACAAAAGGAAAGCTTTTCAGTGCGATTCAGGCAGATGTAAATCTTTAGTATAAAAATATTTCTTTGAATGAATGTTACAATACTTTTATTTTTTAAATCTAACAAGAATTCAGTCTATATTTTTATTATGCCAACTTAACATTGATGTTTAGTTTTTGTTATTAAGGTGGGAACTAAATCTGTGTATTTATGTGTTGAGTTTTATTACTTATGGAAAGCAATGCATCCAGAAAGTTTTCGAGCTAGAACTCGAGCAGTTGAGGTGGAATCTGATCAGGTAAGGTACCTAAGTAAATAATGTTTTGTATAAAGAATATCTATTATAAATTTTGTTATGCAAAATATTTATTATAAATTTCTTTTTTGCAATTTTTATGCAAAACATGCATTACAATTTTATTTTATGTAAAATAAACTTCATAAAAAGTTTATTTTGCATAAAATTGGAACATTTTGCATATATATCAAATATATTTGAATCAGGATGATGAAGAGGTTCCTCCAACACCAACAGCTGCTGTAGCACCACTTAGTACTTTGCGTGAACCAGTATTTGAATGTGACTATCCTGAGTGTCGAGCAAGGTTTGTTTCCCGGCAAGCACTGAATGGACATATACGTATACATGGTGGCAGGTATATAAATTATTTTTTTGTTTCACAAAGTTAGATTTAAAAAAACTTCAACCTATTAAATTGATCTACAAAAAAAAATCTGCTAAATAGTAGAAATAATTATCAGATGTTCTATTAAAGTTTAAATTATTTTTAACAAATAATATTCCTTTAATTTTTGATTGATTTAAGACATTTTAGTTTTCGTTCAATTTTTTTTTTGAAGCAATTATAGAGATTTTTTTTTTTAATTCTGATTCACTCCCAACAAGGCTGCAACTATTAAGTTGCAGCCTTGTTGGAACTGAATCAAAAGTATCAAGGAAACTGTTGATAGAAGACTTAAAAAGGGGAAGGTTGTATGAATCAGGAAAACATGAAGATGGGAGAGTTCGAATAGCTTGAGGTGCGGAAAAAAAACTAAATGAATAAAAGTTTTTAGAGCATGCAGAGACAGGTATAGTAAATGAATGAATCTTTGCTGAATGACGAGTCAAACGAGAATAAGTTTTAGTTGATGGAACTAGAGATGATAGCACCTTTAAGCAGCAATCATGATAGTATTAGTAGAAAAGAAAGAGATGCAACTTTACAAAGATGGGAAAAAGGCTCAAGCTTAGCAGATAGAGCAAGTCCAACTACGTTTACAACATTTTTTTAGACCTTGTCTAGAAGAGAAAGAGCATCATTACAAGGACCATCCCAAATATAACAACATTATTCCATACAGGGGCAAGTAAGAGGTTTGTAGAGATAGAGAATGGAATCAGGAGAGAAAATGGTGAGCACGATAAAGAGAAGCAATCTTAGCAGATGCTAATTTTATAATCAATTGCATAATTTTATAATCATATATGGTTTCCATAAGGGGTTAGCAGCCATTGAATTTAGCAATTGATTTTATATATGGTTTCCATGAAAAGTCAGTAGTAAACAATCCAAGAAAATGTAAAATTTTATTTTCAACCAATTTTGAATAGTTTAATTTTCAGCCAAATATAGATGATTTAGATTTAAATTGACTTGTCTTTATTTTAAATGTTTATTTTAAATATTTTTTGCTACTCCACATGGGAAGATGAATCAAATATGTTTGCCGCAAAAATGTGTCAATCTCCACATAAAAACGAAAGCATTTTTTGCTTTATCAAAAGTAGTATTTTGTATTAGTAGTATATATAGATTTTGCGATAAAAAATAATTTTGGAAAAAGAGATTTTTACTTCTTCTCAGAAAGTTATAGAAAGAATATTTACATATAGCAAAGAAAAAAAAGAAAAAAGAAAAATTGTTTTTTGATTAGAAAGATTACAACTAGAGAAATTTCAGAGAGGAAAATTCTTTTAAATGATTTAACACTTAATGATCATGATTTTTTTTTTGAAATATTTTTTAACGTCTTTTTTAACTTTTGAAAAACTTTTACGAATTGTGGCTCATGATATTACAAAAACTAATTCGAAAATGCATTGACCTATTTGTGCCCAAGAAAAACTTGCAATAACAATAGGGTATTTGGCAACTAGGTATGCAAACACTTAAATAGCTGCTAATTATTGAATGTCACTAACCACTGTTGGTGGTATAGTTTTTGAAACTTGTAATGCTATTTGGAACAACTTGTTATGAGAATACGTAAAAGCGCCTAATTCTGAAATTGAGTGGGAAAAAATTTCACATGAATTTGAAACCAAATAGCACTTTCCACATTGTTTTAGTGCCATTGATGGCAAGCATGTTCAAATGTTTGCTCCATCTTGATCCGGGTCAAGCTATTATAACTGTAAAAAGACATAGTATAGTATTGATGTTAATTATCATTTTGGTAGATATTGGTGATGGCCAACATTTTAAAAATTCTAAAAGATTCAAAAATATCTAATAATTCTCAAAAAATTTTGCCTTATGTTTTTATTGCAGATGATGCATTTGGGTTTAAAAAGACACATGATGAAGTCCTATACTTTTAAAAATCCTTTAACTGAACCTTTAAACATGTTTTTAACTATAGACTTAGTAGAGCACGAAGAGTTGTTAAAAATGCCTTTGGTATTACTTTAAGTAGATTTTGTGTTTTTTATAAACTAATTATAGCTTTTATAGACAATTCTTGTCTTGATAAAAAGCCAATATTCTCTGATTGAGTGGAGGGGGCATTTGAGCTTGAAAAGGATCTCACTTCATCTGCCCTTCATCTTCTAGGATTAACTCTTCTGATCTTTCTTGGAAACCATATACCAAATCCATTGCAAAATTAGCATCTGCTTAGGTTGGATCTTTTTATTATGCTTGGGACTTTCTTACTCCAGATTCTATTCTTTATCTCTATAAATCTCAAATCCGTCCTTGTATGGAATACTGTTACCATATCTGGGGCAGATCTTCAAATGATGCCCATTCTCTTTTAGACAAGGTGCAAAAACGCATTGTAATTATAGTTGGACCTGCTCTTGCAGCCAACCTCCAACCATTATCACATCGTTGCAATGTTGCTTCTCTTTCTCTTTTCTACAAATACTATAATGGGCACTGCTCTAAAGAGCTAGCGTCTCTTGTGCCATCTACTAAAATTCATTATTGTGTAACTCATCATTCAATTAAGTCTCATCCTTTTACTGTGACTGATCCTTAGTATTCCAAAATTTCTTATTAATCTAGTTTTTTTCCTCGAACATCAGTTCTTTGGAATTAGCTTCTTTCATCTTGCTTTCCTGATTCATATAATTTACAATCTTTTAAGTTGAGTGTAAATCGTTATCTTGATCTATAAACTTCATCTTTTCTTTTATAGTAATTTCCAACTCTAATAGTGGTAGCTTGCAGCTTTGTTGGAAGCAAAGATGTTTGAAAAATCTCTTGAAAATGTTATTGCATTAATAAAGGCTGTAGTTACATAATTTTTTAAAGACTGAAAATGTAAATAGCAATAATAGTTACTGCCCTTCAAACTATGTTGACCAGGATAGACTGACTGGAATACAACTTGGTGATTGGAGAAAAGAGGTGCCAAGTGTAAATAGTTTAGTTGTTATAAATAATACATCAAATAACTACTCTGACATTGTAAAAAAGTAAGGGACTCTTTTAACGATTTCTTCAATCAAGAAGGGTTTTTTTTTTTTTTTTTTTTTTATTATTCACCTTCCCAAGGCCTGAGGGGGCCACTACAGTTGAGGAGGCTACTCATTTTTTTTTTATTTATTTATTTTTTTGTTGTTGTTGTAAATCGTGGTACAACCCTCTCTCAACTCTTTAACTCCGAAACACGTACCTTGACAAGCAAGACAGCTGCGCGGAGAGGTGCAGTAGATTGGCAATTAGATATTGTAAAGCAAATAAAATGAAATTCAAAAAAATAATTATTTTGAGTAATTAAATTACATTTTGCATTTTTATCTTTAAGAGAAAAATAAATACAACCAATAAAATACAATCTGTACAATTCTAAATGTCTTTGTATTGGACTCTAACTTCTATTTCTAATAAAAGTTGATTTTATTTAACTTGGCTAATCTTGCCTTTTTTTATTGGTAATCCTTTCAACACAGGACTGAGACTATTACAAAAAAAAGATATTTCACAGATTGCTTTGTTTTTTTCTTCCAAAGAATCGACTATATGATTGTCAAGCTCTTTCATTTGTTTTAGAAAAAGGTTATCAGATTTTTGTTTCTTATTTATGAGTACATCTTTTTATTTCTTGCTTAAATCATCTGTAGAGATGGAAGAATGAGAAATTGTACGTGAGGTTGTCAATTCTGTGGTCAAACTAATATTATTATGATTTGGTTTTTTAGAATTTGTCAATTCAGTATTATACATTACTATCAGTTGGTTTGTTCGAGCTTTTTTCATGTAGAAAAACCATTTGATCAAAGTATTTACACTTTCCTTAGAAAGTGGTCCAGGTCTAGATCTTGTAGGAGCTCGTCTTTGATCTAAACGTTTTTTTAAGATTATCTTTCAAATTCTTTAATGTTTTTTGTAGAACGTTTACTAAATACAGAATGTATAAATTTATTAAATGTTAATCATACACAAAGTTATACGACTATCATGACTACTCTTTTTACAAATATATATATATATATATATATATATATATATATATATATATATTATATATATATATATATATATCACGGCTATTTCAAAGTGAGCTTTACGGCTTCTTACTTTTTTTAAAAAATAAAAACTTAATAAGTTTTACTAAAACTTTTTAAATTTTTTAAATATTAGAGATAATTTTGTTCTGTAAAAAGATTATAAACATCAATAAATTGTTTTACCATATGACATTAAATGAATGATTGAAAACTTTCTTCAATTTTAGATAAAACACGCCAAATGATGAGCTTGGCTAAATTATAGTAATTTGTTGTCACTTTTTATCACACAAAAAATTTCAAAAGTATATTTTAGATAATTTTTATTAAATATACACATTATAAGACCACTTTAACTTAAAAAGAAATTTGTTTAAACCTGATTTTTAACTGAAAGAGGCAATATTTGTCAGTAAAGCAAAACGCTACTTTTTTACTCGTAAAATATTAAAGGTCACGTGATTGTTTTAAAATGTAAACAAAAATATACGCATGAAAATAGAAAAAATGTTCTAAACCAGCCAAGTTTGAAGGCATTTTGTAACATAAGCTAAAGGTATAAATAACAGTTTTTGGATTTTCGTGTGCATAAAGAATTTAAAATTTGGTAATTTGGTAATCATTACAAAAAAAATTATATTTTGCATATAAAAGTCATAAAAACAAAAATATAAATGCATTAAAAACTAATTTTTGCTAAAAAAAATTATTTACGATCACCAAAAATCTGATAGAATAGACATTCATGGATAAATGTTCTAAATTTTAACTATCAACCATGTAGCTATGTTATCAAATTATGGTTGGCCTAAGACAGGTTTTTCGTAAAAATCGCCAAAAACACAAAAGTGATCCCAAATCATTTAAAATATTTTAACAATATTTATTTTTATTTCGTCTAATGTAAATATTTATTTAACGAAGAAAGATAGTTCTATATTTTTTGATTTGAAGATGAAAGCATTTATTGAAAAAAAATTATATTATTTTAAAGTCAGTGAATTTCTATACTTTTTATGCGGAAATATATATTTTTTTAAACACAAAAATTCTTGTGACATCAGGCTCGCTATATATATATATATATATATATATATATATATATATATATATATATATATATATATATATATATATATATATATATATATTTATATATATTTGTATATAGCAAAATAAAGTTTTATACCATCTTGATGAAAAATTATTGAAGCTGTTTTCATGAACTTACTTTCATATTTCTATCTTTGAAGCCGTTTTTGTTTGCATCCTAGAGACACCAAAACTTGCAAACAGCCTCAATAAAGCTTTCTTTATCAAATCCACTTCCAGTTTGATCTTCATTTAGCTCATTTTCGTTGCCTTCTGTAAATTCTGTCAGAAGTATCTATCTTTATTTTTATTTTTATTTTTTATGTTAAAGTAATGTGATTTGTTTGTTTTGAAACTATAAATAGTCGAGGAGCGAAAAGTAAATAAACTGTCGACTATTTGTGTAAGGGTTGTTTTTCGTAGCGAAATTATCCCTGTATTGTTAATTCATCTGCGCATGTAGAGCAGCAAAAAATATTGCCTGTCACGACCATTTTTTGCTTGGTGGAAAACAGCCTTTAGATTTGATAAAAATAATATTCAGTTTTATAAACAAAATTTTATTACTTTTTAATCTTTTATTTAGACATGATAAAATAATGTTTAATTTTATATACAAAACTTTATTGCATTTTAATATTTTATTTAGACTTGATAAAAATAATATTCTACAAAATTTTATTACTTTTTAATCTTTTATAAAGTTTTATGAAGCCTACAGATGCACGTCGTTCTAAACCAAAAGTATCAGGACATTCTACTGTTCTTGATGACTCCACGTCACCTTCCAATTCGAAAAAAAAAAAAAATACCCCTACATCAGTCATCGTAACAAGCAAAGGAGAAGCTCCATTGCTTCAGTTCCAATGCAAAGTTTGTGGGAGGTATGAACTGCATTTTTTTCAAACTGTAAGGATTGTTTTCCTTATCATCTCTAACGTAATTAAAAATGCATTTGATAGATATTGTAGATTTACCATTTAACGAAATATATTTGTTTTATTTATTAGAGTCTTCAGCAAAGTCAAAAGTCGATCTGCCCATATGAAGACGCATGTAAAAAGGGATGAAAACAATAAACCTATTAAACAAATTAAAAGTAGTCCTGCTAACTCTACAGCAGTCTTTTGCTAACACTTAATGGTTTTTTTTAATCCTACAGTAGTTGCTGTAAGTTTTTCAGCTGATCCAACAACCAAACTTTTTACTTCAGCTATTTCCACAACTCAGTAATAAAAAATAAAATTTTCTATGCGAGAAACATTTTTAGGTGCAAGGAGTTAAATTAGACTTAAGCTTAGCTTGATCAGTTTTATATGAATTAAACGAAACTTTATATATATGCATATATATAAATAAATATATTATAAATGTACATTTTGATGACCTATATATATATATATATATATATATATATATATATATATATATATATATATATATATATATATATATATATATATATATATATATATATATATATTTATATATATATATATATATATATATATATATATATATATATATATTTATATGTATATATTTATATGTATATATGTATATGTATATATTATATATATATATATATATATATATATATATATATATATATATATATATATATATATATATATATATATATATATATATATATATATATATATATATATATATATATATATATATATATATATATATATATATATAGGAGATTTATATTCGTATAAAATGCGAATGTATCTTATAAATAAATTATTTGTAAAGGGATGTTTTTGCTTTCTTACTTTTTTTAATATTTTGCACGCATCAGGTAACAACAATAACAATGATAGTTATTATTACCAGGTACCCTATATATTATAAATGTTAACTTTATTTTTATTTTTTTATTTTCTTGTCATTTGTTTCTAGATGAAATAAAATCGTACATAGTATAACTCAGATATTTATAATTATCGAAATTTCCGCATACTGAAGCTTTTTCGATTTTTTGTTACATTTAGCAAAAAGTTTTTTATAATGAAACAGTTCAAATTAATGTTTTTTCAATTATTTGAAATTTAAATAATGACTAAAAGTGCATTTCAAAACTTATTTTGAATAGTTTACAATTAGATTCATTTTATTATTTTATACTCCTTAAAAATGCAATTTTCAAAAAGAAAAACAAGACCGACCTGTCAAATACAAATAAAGTTAATATAAAAACTGAGATACAAGAACTAAACTGAAATCAAATAAGTTTAACAATTGTTCAGAACAAAATTAAGGCAAGCAGGAGATTTTTAAATTAGTCAAATGTTAAATTGTTATAGATCATTGTAGAGTGCCTAAATGTAGTATTTCAGATATGTTTAGTTTTATCTAAATCAGATAATTTTTTTAATCTACTAAAAAATGTGTTTTTTTCAAAAGAATTTTTTAATATTTACATAAATTTTTTAATGTTTCATTAGGCTAGCAATAAATTGAAAGGGTGAGTATGCTATAAATTTAGTGGAACCATTAGAGTGTTTTTCTACATGAAAACATTTTCTACCTTTTACATAGTTATTAAGCTTTACAGACTTTTTTTAAGTACCAGACTTTAAAACTGAACTAATTATAATGTTAAAGAAAAATGGAAAATTGTTTTATGTATTTATGTTTTATGTATTTATGATAATCACTCATAACAAATTACTAATTTAGTTAGCTAGGTTTTTATTGATATTAGACTATAAAGCTCACGTTTCCTGAGAAACTAAATAACCATTGTGTATTTAAACAGAGTTAGATAACATTTTATTTTTTAATTAGATAACATTATTTTGGATTATAAATAAAAATAAATTATTTTATTCGCAAATATTTCACTCTGTCTGTAAAGAAAACACCTGATAAAAACATCAGTATTGTATATTAAGCATGTATATAAACAGAAAAAATTTTATTATATGCAAAACTCAAGTTATTGGTCATATGTTACCTTTTTACGTTTTTTCTTTTTTCAGTTATATGTACATGATAACGTCATATGGAAAATCTCTGGTTAAAATAGAATTGCCGCCATGATTCTAGTTTAAGTGTAATTCTAATTTGATGCCGATTTAAAAATTTACGAGCATCCTGTTTATGGGGGTTTGATCACAATGGTTTAGTTATCAATTGTTACGAAACATGAGCCTCACAAAAAAAAATGCTTAAAAATTTTTATCATCTAGGCTAAATGAGATAATCTTATTTAAATATAGGGTGACATTATTATTCTTTATAGGACTTTGAAAAAAATAATGGCTTCTCTATCACATTCCTTGTTTACTAAAAGAGTTATGTATTTCAATTTACAATTTTTAATGAATGGCAAATATTTGTATATAGTTCAAAGCAGAAGAAAATTGAAAAAAAAATTTTGGTGCTATTTTTTTTATTTAAAATCTGTGTATTAGGATGTTGCAAGAAGTTCTTAAGGTTTTGTCACAGAGGAAGAACACTTAACTAGAAAGTTAACACAGCCTTTCTTAATGGCATTGTATATAAAACCAGAGTAGGTTTCAACCCTTCTGAAGCAAGTGCTCAAACCACTGTGCTACAGCTGCTGGCTTTAGACTGGTTAAGCCTTCTGTCATTCTTCATGAAAAACATTGAGTTATTATAAGATCACATGACCTTAACTTGTTGACCTTAAAATGATATAATTTGTACTTGGTTAGTAACATGGTCACACAAAGTATCCCTGCTCTCTTTGTATGTGGGATTTCAAAGCCCAAAAGAATTATTAAATTGAAACTAATTTATTTGTTTTTATTTAATATTTATACAGGATTACTTCAGGAATTTTTACAACTATGTTGTTAATGCCTAATTATAAGATATAATAAAAATTAAAAGCAAATTAAAGTATAGCAGCGAAAACAATCAAACAGATGTGTTTTTGTAGCGCATGAAAAAAAGAAAAAAAAAGGAAAAGTTTTAAATTTGCTTTAACAATATGATTATATTTAATAATGGTTACATAAATTTAAAAATTGATCATGGCAGTTACAATTAACCAATAAGAAAAAAAATGTTAAAAGATTGTTTAAGGAGAAAGAAACAAGATAACAAGAAACAAACGTTTTAAACAAAATAAGTTCAAGCAAAAAATTTCTTTTCAAGCGATTGAATTAAATTTTAGTGAGTATGATAAATTCTTTACAAGCGATTGAATTAAATTTTAGTGAGTACGGTAAATTCTTTACAAGCGATGAATTAAATTATAGTGAGTGCGGTAAACAAATAAAATTGATATAAAAAGAAGATGAGGAGATTAAGCTAAGCCTAAATTTTCATGAACATCTTATTGATGAAGAAATTAAGTCGGTCATTACATCACAAGAGAATTATAAAACAACGAGCCTAATGCAATGCAACGAATCTGCATTTATTAAAATAAACAACAAATTAAAAGAGATGCAGAATCGATCCAGGCGGAACAATTTGAGAATTGATAGAGTAAAAAAAAATAAAACATAAAAACTCAACCAAAAACAATATTCATAAAACTTTTAGACTTTAAAGTAAGTATTTTTAAAAAAGACCTTATACCTGAAAGGCAAAAATACCTACAAAAATGAAGATTTTTGCGCTGAGACTTGCAGAGTTATCAGCAAGATAACTCTGCATTTCCTGGAATAACCAGCAGGAAAATTCGCAAGCATTTCATATGATAAACTAATTATACGCGATATTGGGCAACAACAAAAAAAAAGTAAAAACCTAATGTCAAAATATTGTAATATCATATTATATTCAGTTCATATATTTAATTACGAACCGAGTAACTACGTACCAGTTCATCAACCGCGTAAAACCCATGTTGGTGGTGATATTAGTATCTTTGTTGACAAATCTGTAAACTTTATATTGGGTAATGACTATAATGTAAATGAAACAGATTGCGAATAGAATGGGACTTACGGTTTATCCTCCTCTGGCTATTTACCATATAGAGGTCATATACCCGGGCCCGCAAAAAGAAGTTCAGCTCACTAAAGAGCATTATTACCCGCTTCGCTGACAAGTGAGTTTAAGAAGAACGAAGTAAGTTAGAGTTAAAGTCAAAAGTTAGAAAGATTGCATAGAGAAAGCGGACAAATATTGCACTGGATGATAGAATGCACAATTTATTTATACTATTTTTTAGATTAACTAATTAATGTATGGTATAAACGTAATCATCATTGCTGATGACGTTTGTTTATACTTATACTTGCGAGTCAAATGAAAGTTGAAATTTGCATGTTGAAATAACCAATAAAGCAACTAAAAATATTATCATTAATTCTTTTTATGGTCATCTGATATGATAATTGAAAAATATTTGAAACCTATTTAAAATGTTTTTTAAACAAAACCAAAACATTAAAGAAACGTGTGTACTTAACTGGTGACTACAATATAAACTTGTTGAATCATGCTTCAAATGTAAATGCTTGATGTTTTTTAGATACCCTGATTCAACATGATATATTTCCAACAATAAACAAATCAACCAGAATAACTAACACTTCTTCAACTTATTTGAAAATATATTAACTAACAATTTTTATAATTTAATAATATATTTACTAATAATTTTTATAATTGCCAATTACAATCTGGCATAACTAAAACTGGCATAACAAATCACTTTCTATTAATTACAGATAATATAAGACCTAATCATTCTTCCTTAAAATCTACAACCATAATGCGACTGATCAATGAAAACTCTTTGATGTTTTTTCGAAATCTCTTACCAGAAAAAATCAATTGAAATCTTATATAACAACCACAAGAGCAATTATTACATATGAAACTTTTTGGCGCAGTTTTGTAAATACTTTGGTTTGGCATTTCCATTAACCAAAAAAATCTAAATCACTTTTAAACCATTGGATGACTAAATGTTTACATAAATCATCGAGGAGGAAACAAAAACTTTATGAAAAATATTTAGAATATAAAATATAAATAAAAAAAATGAAATAAATTACATAAATTATAAAAAATTGTTTTTTATTTTAATTTGAAATAATTAAAAACACGCAAAAAAAGTATATCATGCAAAGCTGTTGGAAAAAACCCATGGAAATACACAGGTCCGGCGCGAGTAGGTGTCACATTGGTGCCATTACAACTTTTGCCAACTAAAAAAAAGGTCTTCGTTTTTTAAAATTTGCCGACTGCCTTATCGACATTTGCCGACTAACTTGTCGAAAAGGGTCAAGTTTGCCGACAAAATTAATGAAAAAACCATTGATGAAGGAGGGGGGGTCACACACTACCCCTCCTCCTCCCCATCGCACCGGCCTTTGAAACACACAAAAAATAAGTAAAGTGATAAAACAAATAATTGGTAAAATAAATAAGGAAAAAGTAAAAAAATTAGTCAACAAAATAAACAATAAACGAAATATTTTCTTCTTTTGATTTTACAAAAATTACTCTAATTATAAATTTTAGCACTAGAGGCCTTTCAAAAAATCATCAGTAGTTTTTGAAAGGCCTCAAGTGCTAAAATTTATAATTAGAGTAATTTTTGTAAAATCACAGGAAGAAAATATTTCGTTTATTGTTTATTTTGTTGACTAATTTTTTTACTTATTGGTTATAAACATATTTCAAGTTATATATATATATATATATATATATATATATATATATATATATATATATATATATATATATATATATATATATATATATATATATATATATATATATATATATATATATATATACCCAGCCAACATTGACATACGGGTACCATATTGCATATTGATATGAGCAAAAGTCACTTTTACTCATATCAATATGCAAATATTGTCAACAGTCAGAGTGCACCATGCAGAAATATTCTTTAACATGCTGCAAAATACAAGATATACATAAGATACATATCATATAAGACCTATTGCCTGGAACTTAACATTTTATATTGTTTAACTTACTGTAACTCAATTATAATAAATAAGCATATGGTTATAATCTATATAATAACTAACATCTTTTTTTAGTTATTGTTATTTATGTAAAAGTTATTAAGTTAAATTAAAGTTTTATAACTAAAGTTTGAATGCAAAAGTTTATATCAATAAAAATTTTTATCAGAATTATAAACATAATTATTATATTACAAGTATTTAAAAGTATAGGTATTGTAAGTATAAGTTATTATTATGTATATTATGAAATTATTGTTTATATTGCAAGTGTACAATTTTAAATCAAAATCAAAAAATATCAATGATTAAAAAATGAGGTTGATGCATAACAATAAAGCCATATTTTTGCATTTAAACATCTAATTATATCTTTTTTTATATCTGACGGTGGATAAACTTCGTTAACACCAGTCATTTTGCTTGCATAAAATATAGAAAAATCAATGGAAAAGAGTGGATCTGTAAAAACGATTTAAAAGCTTTTAATTCCCTAAATATAACCTATCCATTACATTCTATTCGCCTGTTTGCTCTTTTTAAATGTTTCTGACTAAACTAATATTCTGATTAAACTCAAACCATTTATTATCTAATTATATCACTAGCTGCTAGTTTGCACTGTTTGCATTTTTAAAATGATCAAAATATAAAGTTTTGTTTCTGCGAGTGACTAGCAGAAACAAAACTTTATATTTTGATCATTTTAAAAATGCAAACAGTGTCTCAATGGAACATTTACTACATGTTTAATAGTTTCTGGAACAAATGTTCAATAAATATGTTGAACTTTGTAAATTCATTTAAAAAATAGTATATATGTATATATATGTATATATATAAATTCTTTTATAATGATAATAAATAAATGAAATTTTAAAACAACGTCTTTTTAACTGAGTTTTACAGTGACAAAACACATCAAAAAAAATTCTTTTTAATTACAATGTAAATATAATGTATTCAAAAAATGTAAAGCATAAAAGTTAAATTTTTAATCTTATTTCACGCACAATACGAGTTAAAAATGGCAACCATCGAGTAAGTTTTGTTATGATTTTTTTAAAACCTTTTGGGAACATTATGGGAAACCCGTCAAATCCCCAGGTTATTCGGCCCTGATAAAAACCAGATAAAACCCTAACGAGCAAATATGCTTGATTTTATTACCATATGGGACCCGTCTGGAAACCAAAACACTTACCCGTCAAAATCCCATTCCCGTAAGCCCAGACAAAAACCATACGGTACCCGTCTGTCAATGTTGGCTGGGTATATATGTATATATATATATATATATATATATATAATATATATATATATATATATATATATATATATATATATATATATATATATATATATATATATATATATATATATATATATATATATATATATATACATATATATATATATATATATAGCCCTTAATTGGCGGAAGAATAATAAATAATAAAGAAGCCATAGTAAAAAAAACTCAAATTTTTCATCGTTAAAAGCTCATAAAATTTCAAAAAGTATCACAAATTTCTAGTTCTATATAAATCAACTAATAAATCGATGATCTTGATTAATTTAAACATAAGTGAGTAGCGAAATGCTTTTAATAGTCTGAAAAATAATAGGGGAAGGTTGCATAAGTTGAACATGTTAACATGGCATTGTTTTTTGCAGCCGAAATATTATCATATTTATAATTATTTTTGCAGATTAGTATATTCCTTTTAAAGAATATACATGAATAGTTCATAAAAAAATCTTTATACCAAAAATTGCGTTATTTTTAACACACTCAATTATCTCATCTTAGGTAGCCAGTTTCCCAAGATCAGCTTTTTTTAATAAAACTCAAATTTTGAGTTTTTATTTGATTTGAATTGTATATAATTTAAATAGCATGACAACAGCTTATGTATTATCTTATATAACCCATGGAATTAGCAGTAGATAAGCATAAAATATTGAGGATATAATAAATTTTTGATGATCTTGTTTCGTTCTGACGTAATTACAAAATGTTATATAAAAAATCATAATGGGAATGGTAAATTTTTTTAATAATAAAACAATGAAAGGATATTAACTATACAACCAAGGAATTAAAATAAATAACACCGTCGAACTTGTATGAATATACTTAAACAAAAAAATTTGCAAAAAAATTAGTAGTCTACCCGTGAAAGAGGTTATACCATCTTAGGAATCTGCTAATCTTATTTTTCATAAATCTGCTTGCATTAATGAAATTAGCGTTAACGTAGTTAAAGCACTCTTCGATATTACTGGGCCATCTTTGTTTCACATTTTTAGCCTTTCATTAAAATCAGGTATTTTACCTGAGAAGTTAAAAATATCTAAAATCACACCTGTTTTTGAAACTAGTGATGACACAAATATTTCTAATTGTAGATCTATTTAATGTGTATACACTCTAGCACTAGAGTCATAGAAAGAACTTCTAGAGTATTCAAGTTGAATTTTTGAAACTTTAGGTGATTTTAGATTAGGTGACTATTATTTCCTGTTGCTTTTGCATGGCTGAACATTTCAAGTCTGAGTCATATACTTAGAAAAGCCAATACAGCTCAAAATTTTAAAAAGAATATAAATGAACTTTTGCCGATCAAAATTCTTTAATTGAACTTTTCTAACAGTACACTTTTATCATCTTTTTAATTATCAAAGGTTACTGATGATAAGATTTTTTCTTCTTCCGTTTTTCCTTGTAACTACTATATATGATAAAATATATTTGCATTTAGTATTTTTAAATATTTTATATAAAGGAAATCACCTTTAATTGTATATGATTACTGACAAACATAAATAAATAAAAAAGTAAACAAAACTTGTGAGTGGTGATTTTGTGTTTACTGTTTATAATTATAGTACGAGATGCACATGTATTCAAACTGTCAAGCTTATCATTTTTGAACTTTGGTAGTTCGATGCTAAACTTTGAAAGTTGTTTACAGTAGGTTAAAATGTGTATAATTTTCGACTAGAAAATGTGTTCTGCAGCGATTTTTTTTAGTAATCTTAATTTGTAACAAGCTTTAATAGGTTAAAATAACTTCTCACGTTAAGTGTTTTAGTATTGGGTCCAGCAGCCGAGTTTACTTCTCTCTGTTAAGCTTAAAAGAGCTTTTGTCTGAAATTTCATTAAAATAAGTCAAAAAAAGATAAAAATTTTATTTAATTTTCTGTAAATAAAACTTATACTAAAGTATAATTTTGAATTTTTTTTTAGAAACAAAAAATGTTCATACTGTTATCGATCTATTCGATAAAATGCTTATCGATTGCGTAAAAACAAAAATTCGTTAGGTGAAATTCGGTGAATTTTAGAGTAGCGATAAACTTTTCCAGAAGTTTCTCTACAACACATAAATTTGGCGCAGGAGTCTAAAGAACTTATCCTGTCTTATCTTTCCAATATTGTTTATACACATTTGTACATTAAAATATTAGAAAAAATAACACTGTTTTTAAAATGAGTGAAACTAGACAACAAAATGGAAATGTATTTAAAGATAGAGAAAAACCGACACAAGTTCGATCTAGTAATATCACAGCAGCCAAAGGTTAGGTCGGAATTTCACTCAATGATTACCATATTACCATAGTAAAAAATGAATTTTTTCATTAAAAATGATATATGAGACCAAATTAAAGCGAAAAACTGGTTCTATTTTCCCATAATGTAAGGAAAAAATAATGTAAATCAATGAGAGGTGTACCCATATATTATTACGTATCAACTACGCTGTTACTAATTCTTACCTAGAGTTCATTTTTAACTTATTTCTAATTTAGCCATTACAATGAAGATCTTTTTTAAATATTTCAGTTTTAATCAGTTTCAAATTTAGATTTATAGCTATATTGTCGGTAAAAAAAATGCCTCTAGAAAATATTATTAGTAATTACATTGGCATATGTTTAATGTATTTTTGGTATAATTAAAAAATGGCTTACAATGAAACAGTTAAAAATGTCGCACAAAAAAGTACTATGAAGTTGGAAAAATTTAGTCAGCTATCAGAAAGTATTATAGCTAATAAGTTTGTTTATAGAATAATAATTTCAAATGATACAAGTTTATTATGTTAGGTTTACGATTTTTATCCTTTTTTTTTGAAAATATATAAGGTCTGCATCTCAGCAAAAAAAGTAGCACGAAACTCTCTCTTCCTCTCCTCTCTCTCTCTCTCTCTCTCTCTCTCTCTCTCTCTTTCTCTCTCTCTCTCTCTCTCTCTCTCTCTCTCTATATATATATATATATATATATATATATATATATATATATATATATATATATATATATATATATATATATATATATATATATATTTATATATATATATATATGTATATATATATATATATATATATATATATATATATATATATAATATATATATATATATATATATATACACACTTACTAAAGCGTATTTTTATAAGCATTTGCTCACTTTTTTTGCTTACCTTAATCCATACGGCATTTTTAGAAAAAAGAGAAAAAAAAACAAAGAACGATGAATGAAACAATTGCTGCCCCATCCCAAACCCTCAGTCGATGTAGCAGCACTCTACTGCGAGTCAGGCTATTTGTCAGTCGATGTATGTACTGAAGCCCCCAGTAGCAGGCTATTTCAGTATGACCTCAAATTGCTTACCTTAGTACGCAATACTATTTGTATATATATATATATATATATATATATATATATATATATATATATATATATATATATATATATATATATATATATATATATGTATTGAAGTCTTTGCTGATAACTCTGCTAGTATAGTTTAATTAGTGATATTTTTGTACACAAATAGTATGCTTACACTAGCATCCATATTCCTATTGTATTCAATTTAATAATCCTATTGTCTATTAATGTAAATTATGTGTATTTTGAATACATACAATAAATGATTAAAAATAGACTAACTTTTGTGTGCAAAAATTACTGTATTTTTAATTATTTATTGTATTTATTCAAAATCTCTCATCTTAATTGTCAGATAATTTATGTCCACAAAATCTTATCTATTATCAGTTGATGTATTAACTTCTATTAAAAAAAAAGGAATTTAATTCACAAGACTAAAACCATGAATGTATAGAAAATGCACGAGGATAAATTTCTTTCAGACAAAATTAAATAAATGTTTCTTTAAAGTATATGACTCTGTAATTGCAGCAAAACAAGTTATGTAATAATTGCATAATTGCATAAATTTTCACTTTACTAAGAACTTATTGCTTTTTATGTTGTATTTTTTTTTAAAGATAAATAAGTATTAATTTTATTCTAGTACAAATAAATTTTTTTAATTTTTGTAAAAATATTCTAAACAATGTCAAAAATAGTTTAAAGTAACAATATATAGAATATGTTTTATTCTATATGTTGTTAATTTTTATGTGTTGCTTTATCCATTTTAGGTGTTGCAGATGCAATAAGAACAAGTCTTGGCCCTAAAGGAATGGATAAAATGGTAGGGTTATAATTTTTAATGAATTTTTTCAAAGTTTTTTTTTTCAAAGAACAGATACACAGTTTCAATTGTACCTAAATTTAAAGCATTTGTTTGCTGCCAATTTTTATTCTTTAATCAGTAAATTTTCTCATTGACAAACCCTGTTCATTATTACAAGATTATTAAAAATTGTTTTTTTTAATTCAGTTTGTGTTAAAACAGCAATATCTCGAACCATTCAGCATTTTTGCAATAGCCTAAAAGTTTGAATAAAATTTGATTTCCAGTTAGAAACTAAAAGAAAATTGGGTGACTTGATGTGGAATTAATCATGTATTATATATTTTTAACTGAGGCTTTAATAAAGTGATAGATAAGGAGACTAAACCTTGTTGGCAGCAACAGATAAGTTGGTAAACTTTAAAAGTTTTTAATAAAAAAATCTTAAAGGTTTGTTCCCTGTAGTTAAAAAGAGATTCACAACTGCACATTGGATGCAATTGATAAGCTATATTTATACATTAAAAGCAACTTTTGGAACATATCTTTCTTTTTACATTACAAAGAATCACATATAAAAGATATTAAAGAGATTCCTATCGCAAATGATTTACTCTTTCTTGCCTTTGTTTTTTAAAGTTCTGTATTTTTGATGGTAATTTAGGATTAGTAGAATAACTATTTGTAAACATCCGTCCAAGAATAAGGGAGAACTCTTACTAATAATTTTTCCAAGTAACTGTTTGACTCCAACACCTGAGACAGGACGGGAAGTTGGTCTACATGTTTATATATCAACAAATCTTGCCATAAGCTTGTCATCCCAGTACACTGTTAAAGGTAGAGTGACTGAAAACTTGATCGCAGACTGCTTGGTCTAGCAGTCAGATGAGTTGCTCTGGCACCCTGTATAAAGTTTTGCTTAATATTTAAACTATTCACATTTGACTGAGACTGGAAGCTACTTTACTGAGAATAAAGCTAGCATTCTGCAGGCCTTGTTTTAAATAAAAACAGCTTAGGACATGAGCTTGTTGCAATTTTAACGTCATAAAATTATCTTTATTTATTTTATTTATTTATGGATATAAACTTTTTTGAAATGCTGCAATAAAATTAAATACTGCAAAAAAAATTTAATTTATTAAGAAAAATAAAATCTAGAAGTTATTTTTTAAATGTACATTTTGTGAAATGTCTATTTTGTTTCAATTTTTTTATTTTTTATTTTTTTTATAAATAATAATTGTTTTTTAAATAAATTTAATATTGCATTTTTTATTATCGTTTAACATACATTAATTTTTTATTTCCTTTACATTTGTATAAATAAATTGAAATATGTTAACTTTATTTTTTCATTCTTTTCGAATATTGCAGCTTGGCAAATAAAAATAATTTTTTTCTTTTAAAAAATTAAACGAAAAATATTTCTTGTTGCAAAAAAAAAACAAAAAATCAATTTTATCAGCACTTTTTTTTTGTGACAAACAAATATATAAGTTTCCAAGTACCATTTATTTAAAAAAATGCTGACAAAAAAAAGTTAAAGGTATATATTTATAAACATTTTTGATGCTGTGTTTTCAAGGAATTTGTATAACTTTTTTAATCAAAATTTTTTCTAAATTATGTTTCTTTTTATTCTTAAAAGTAATGTTTTTATCATAAAGTATGTCAAGCTAAATTTATCTTTTGAATAAAAGCATGATCATTTGCTCTTTTGCGTGGAGATTTTGATTCAAAGTAAAGCACTTTTGTGGACTGCGTGGAAGCCAATAAAATTTTAAAAGGTCGTTAAAGCGAAAAGGGGAAAAGATAATTTTTTGTTCATTTTTTTTTTCAAATTAGCCTGGTTTTTATCTTTTAAAACGTTGTATCATATTAACTTATGAACAATAATTTAAATTATTATTTTATCCTCAATTTTATATTATTAATTTTACTACTTTAATTATATTAAAATATATATTAATTTATTTTTATCAAAATTTTTTCTATTAGTTAATCAATGCTAATAGAAACCAGCAACTTTAATTTAAATAAGTAACAGACATATAGGGGGCAAAGCGAGATTCTTTCACCGCACGAGGGCAGCAACTAAATTTAATTGGAGTATTTTAAATATCTAGTAAATTAGGTATTTAAATTAAAAAAATGTATTTAAATACAAAATTGTTATTATTATTATTATTTTTTTCAATTTACAGTACATTCATTTAATATCTACATAAGTTTTGTATTTGTAAATTAAAAAAATAATTTTGAATTTATAATTATTGGTTAATAATTAATAATATAATATTATTTAATTATCTTCTTTTACGTTTTACGTAAATATAACAAAAATAATACGTTTCATTGCAAGTTTTATTTTTGATTATTTTTGTTGTTATTTTCAATTTACTTTACATGCTAATTTATTTTACTGAGAGTATTAATAAATCTTTTATTACAAAAACGTTATTAACTAATCTTAAAGTATAATATTTATTGTTGTGCAAATTTCTTTGTAACTTTACTAACTTAAGATAAACAGCAAAAACATAAATAAAGAGTTTTTGAACAATAAAAATAAATTGATAAAATAATTTAATAAACTTTAAAAAAATCTTAACTCAAGATTAACTGACAACAATAAAAATTAAAATAATTTTTTTTTTTAAACTTTAGAACAAATGATCATGTTAGTGTATGGACGCTTGTTAATGACAACACCTTTTTATACATTAAAAAAATCAATAAATTTAATTCATTTTTTTGTCATGCTTCTTATTGCGTTTTTACTTGTCTAGCGCGACACTTAAAATCTGAGACTGATTTAATTTTTTTTTTTTTTTTACTATGATCTTATGAACCTTTAAGAAATTGAAACCAATTGGGAATACCGCGATATACGCAATGCCATCAGGCTGGTTAACACCCTGGTTGTTAACACATGATATAAGCTTCTACCTAAAAATTATTTTAACAAAAATTGTCAAATAGAATATGAAAAACACCATTTATTTATATTTTCATTTTATTTAAAATGATATCAAGATTAAATACTTTCCAAGTTGTTTTTAGGAATTTTATTTAAAAAGAAATCTATTTGATCAAAAGAATTTTAGTCTTTTAAAATTCTCTTTTTCAAATAATTTTGTGATGGAAATTTTAAATTGAAAAAAAAATTGAAAAATTTTAAATAAGAGAGAATGAGGAAGATTTTTTTTTTTTGTAAATCGTTAATTTCATAAACGTTTTGAATAGTTAATTATATTTTGTTTCTTGAAAATAGTTTTAAAAGTAAAAACATTCTATTGCGAACATTAAACTGCAAAAGTTAAAATAAAAATTAAATTATAAAAAATTTAAATTTAAATTAATAAAGTTTTACTTTTTTTCAAAAAAAAAAAATTAACTATATTCTTATACTCAATATGATTCGATTTATTAAACCAAATTTTTTTTGTCTCACTTTTTACCGAAAACAATTTAAATATAAAAAATTGAATGAAAACATCAATTATTTGAATGAAAAAACTAAATTATACTTAAATTTTTAATAGTTTCACTAGATCAAGAAACAAAAAGTTTTGAAAAATGTGGTATCTAATGTTTTTTTGCTTTACGTTACTTGCTCATTACACTATAACTTAAACTTTAAATCACAACTCAAGCTGTAAATTATAACAGTAACTTACGCTATTTTAAACTCCGCTAAACGAGAAAATTATAAGGTAATATTTTAATATGAGATTGAATATGTTTAAAAAATAACATTTACACACAAAAGATTTTATACTAATGCACTATTTTTTTTTTTTTTTTAATTCAGTAGTTATTTTTGCTATTGTTTGTTGTATTATTGTATATTGTTGTTAAGTTTTTTTATTAAATTTCTTTTATGGTTTCTTTTTTTATGTATCATAACATTTTTTTTTTCTTTTGCTTAACATATTTAATGGAAAAGGTTAATAAAAATAAATTTTTCTTTGTTTTTTCATAACTTTTTACACTTGATATTAGCGCTTTTTGCATCTATATGTAAATAGTGTGTCATTTTATGCTTTAAAACAAGGCCTGATTATATGATATCTTAGTTCTGTCCAATTCTGATGAATGCTGTGGTTAAACCAGGAAACAATACATTGATACCATCTTTTTGACCAATTTATTTTTTAAGATGCAAAGATGTTTTTGTGTACTTTGCATGGAACGCACTCTTGTCAAACCCCTATTCCAACGTTGAGCGTCCTATGTGTCAGCGAACTCGTATTTCTAGAAAATAGGCAAAATGGGGTATATAGGGTTTTGTGCAGCGGAGCGCACATACACCAACTGATTTTTAGAGAGAACATGCAGCAGAGTGTGCAAACAACGATTGAGGGTTTGGGGTAGGCAGGTTCTCTTTTAAATGAAGAAGTCGTTTTTTTACATTTTTAGACCTTAAGGACAGCGTCGGAATAAGGGTTTGACAAGAGAGCCTACCACTTTGCACAGAACACATGGCAGCCATTACACCAAAATTAATCACGGCACTTTTTGTATAAGAAAATGTGAAATAAAGTGTATGGAAATATCAAACTTATATAAACTTCTAATTATGTGATGTTAAAACATATATCAAGTTTTACAGTTTTACTTTTACTTGAAAATTCCATTACGGTATTATCTCCTTAATTTTGATTTATAGCATTTATTGCCATTTTATAAAGTCTTTTGTTTATTAAATAGTGTTAAAACATTCATTAAGCAATAAGCTTTAGTGGCCATAGAGTTGCAGAGTTCTGAAGTGAAATGCCATGGTTCAAATTCTTGTGCTTCCACATTTTTTTAAAAATCTTTTTCGATTTTGTATCAAAATAAAACAAATTTTTAAAGTTTTTTAGATATTTTTACTTTTATTTAATAATTGTATTGCTGAGCATTATAGCATTTATTAAATAATGTTTAAAATTGGCAGATTAGTGTTCTTAGTCACTGAAGTAACTACTTGCTGTGCTTTCGAAATACAGCGTGAGGGTTTAAATCCTGTCAGTTGCAGGGTTTTTTTTTTTTAATAATCTTTTCCAATTTTCTGAAATACAAAATAAAACATTTTTAAAGTTCTATTGATGTTATATACATAACATATAGAAAGATATTATATACTAACAAACAAAGGAGAGAGAGTTTTTAGAAAAGCTTAAAGTTTCAATAAACATCAAAACAGCAGTAGCAGTTTTTTGCACATATGTCATACATAAGTTATTAATGTGCTCAGGTAATTAGTTAAGTCTGCGTGTTTCACACACATTAAATAGACAAACTTTTTTAAAAGAGATTTTACATATAAGCTTTAATTTTTTTTTTAATTAATTAACGGGGCAAGGACCCTAAGAAGCTGCAGATGGTCTAGAAAAAATTTAAAGTTTTTTCACACTCTGAGAATCCTGATAAAATATTATTATTAGTTGAAATACTGTTATGTATAAATAACTTAAATACTTGAAATACTATTATGTAAAAATACTGAAATTTTCAAAAAATTTGTTGTTTAATTATCAGAGAAAAGTTATTAATACTAATAATACAAAATTAATCTATACTTTTTTATATCTGTTTGTTAATTATATTAACATAAATTAAGAATATTAACATAAGTTAAAAATAACAACTATTGAAAATCTAACTAAATATAAGAAAATTTTCTTCACTCAAAACTAACATGTAAATATAAATGTGTTTTTTTATTTTTATTTTTTCAAATTACAGATAAGAGCTGGTGACGGAAATGTAACTATTACAAATGATGGAGCAACAATTTTAAAACAGATTCAAGTTCTTCATCCAGTTGCTAAAATGGTCAGTGACTCAGTATTGTTACTTTTTTAGTGCATGATTTTTTAGTAGTTCTTGATGTAATTTTAAAGTTATAAAATACATTGTATGTTACACAAAGATACTTGTGTGGCGCACATTCGAACAAGTTGAAATAAGTTTTGGCAGTTTAAAAAATCAAAATTTATTACAGGTCAAGTAAAAGATTTGTGATGTTCAACCTTTAAAATTAGGGCTTGCATTGCCAACCTTATGCTGGGTTCTCATATGTCTATTTTAATTAGGAAAGCCTAGCGCTTTTATATATTTTTTAGAATTTTAATAATTTATTTTTAGGGGGTCATTATTTGTACACTTGTACAAATAGTGTTCTCATTACATTGTATCATTGTGATTCTTTTTTTTTAATTTTAATGTTTTTTCATTGATTATGATAAAAAAATATTTTTGCATTATATTGTAGTTTATATATAGCCAATATTGTACATCAAAAAAATTGGCGATTTTCCACTAAAGTCTGCTGAAACAGAGGGTACAGCTGCCCAATTTTTTGAAATAGGGGGTACTGCCGCCCAATAATATATATAAAAACCCTGCAAATATATATATATATATTTGCAGGGTTGTACAGGCCTTGTGATGAATAAAAACTGCGCGACGCATAAGCATGATGTGATTTTTGACATCATTAAATTCTTTTTATTTGCTTTTCATATTTATCGACATTAACTGCACCAATTTACTTAATTACAGCAAAACTACTTAAAATCATTAATGTAAAAAATGTTATTATTTAAAAATGTTTTGGAATGTTTCGTTTTTTAAAATGTAAAAACATTTGTTTATTTTCTCGACGTTTGACACGTTTTGTCTATACTAAACAAATAAAAAACATAACTAAACATTTAAAAAAGATTATAAAATATGCTAATATTTGATTTTTTTTTTTTATCAAATATATAATTTAAAGTTTTTCAAATAATTATTTTTTCTTTTTAAAAAGTCAGCGAGTAATAAACTGGAAATTTTAATATTGTACGATTAAAAAATATGCAATAGCTAATATTTTTACTCGCAATTTTATATATTTTTTTATTTATTTATTTTTATTTATTTATTTTTATTTATTTTCATAAAGCGGTTGATAAGCACAATCACTCGTATTGCTAAAAAACTTTAACGAACGTTTTGAATAGATTTTTAATGTTTACAAGGAATTTTATTTTTGGTAAAATAAAATAAAAGAAAATGTTAGAATAAAAATCTTATAGGTATAAAAGACATATTTCAGCGAAAAAATTATTCTTAAAAATTATTCGAAAAAATTATTCGAAAAACTATTGACGTTCCATTTTTCAGCAGCTGTTCTTAAGCACGCTTCATTGAGTTTCGGTAACTTCTAACAAAAAAGCGATTGTTATTATTTAAGTAATTTTTTTTTAGAGTTACTTTTTACAAAAATTTTAATAGCTCTACTTTTTAATTGAATCAAGTAGAATGCGTTTTAATATTAATCCTTTAATTTTTTTTTATTTGCGCTTACCAATTTTTAAAATATTTCCTCGAAATTACTCTTAAATACTTTAAATACGTCTAACAGTTAATAAATATTTTTAAATCTATGGAATAATTTTAAAACCTAACAAACCCCTGTAAAACAATTATTTGAGTTAAAAATCTAAAACTAAAAGAAAGTATTTTTGTTCAATTTTATCGACAACTTTGCTATTGCTGAATAATTTTATCAAAATGTTAGCTTAAAAAGATTTAAGCTTTTTTTTTAATCTGAATTTTTTCTACTTGTAAATAATGAGCATATTTAATTTTTCTGTAATTCAAACTTTTATATCAACAGCGTGCGGTTTTTAAAATACTTTATTAAATGTTAAAATAAATAATGTTAAAATGTTAAAATAAAAAATGTTAAAATAAATAATCGTAAATTACTTCATTAAAATTCCGCTCAAAAATATCTTTAAATATACTCAAACAAAAAATTTTTTGCTCGACGCAAATAGCCCTAGCTACATGCAAAATCGCTCTTGGACGATGTAAAATTCACATCGCCCGACGCTTTATCACAAGGCATACAATATATATATATATATATATATATATATATATATATATATATATATATATATATATATATATATATATATATATATATATATATATATATATATATATTATATTATATTATATTATATTATATGAGATGGGAGGGCAGTGGGTCAATTATATAAGAAAGGAAACACTAAATTAAAAAAAAAATCATAAAATTTTAGATAAATAGGTTAAAAGCATAGGTACTTTTAGGGAGGTGAAGGGTACTCAAAAAAGCATATTGCAAAATTGGGGGGGGGGTTGACAAAAAAAAAGCATACATACTTTATGGCCACCCCTAATGTTGCTTGCTACTAAGGATTTTAATCGCAACTCTTCCTCATTTCTTGAAGTCTGAACACTGTTTAAATAATAATATTGTGACATTATAATAACAATCTTATATAACATTAGTTTGCATTATTAAATACTGTAACTTGTTGTAAAGACTAAAAAGTAGAAAATAAGATATTCCAAAAACATTTGGTAAAAAGTATAATCTTTTTTGAACTAAAAAGCGGAAAATAAATTATTTAATTTAAATTTAATAGTTTAAAGATTGTTTTAAAATGAATCTAGTGCGCTCAGAGAGTGTTGGCTTTTTATCTAGACAAGAATAAATGGTAGTATCGTCAACAATGTTACCTTAGATGTGAGAACTTCTGGGAGATCATAATGTAAATTACAAACAGTATAGGGTCAAGGATAGAAACTTAAAAAACTGTCTGTTGAGGATGACTTTTATACTACGTTTGGTAAGGAAGGATTCTTTAAGATATTACCTGATACATCATAATTAAAGAGCATATGGAGAAGACCAGCATGTCAAACTTTATCATAGGCTTTAGAAATGTTGAGAGCGATAGTCTCGACCTCTCCTCATCTATCTAATGCACAATAAAACGTATCAGTTATTATAGTTAACAAATCAGCAGTAGAATGAGAAGATCAAAAACCACATTGATAATTAGAAAGTAAGTTATTAGATTCAAAATTAAGTATTTGTAAATTAAAGACTCAAAAACCTTGCTTATTATGGGAAGAAGATTAATGGGACGGTAGATAAAATACAAGATTTTGTGACCTGAGCTTTGGCATTAGATAAAACCTTTTTACAATGGTTTCCAGCAATAGAAAATGGGTGTATGTTTTCTGTAGAATTCAATAGGCGATAGATAATAAAGTAATGGTTTTGATTAGAAATTGCACCAGCTTAATAGTTAGAAAACCATAAAGAAAAACCATAAAGAAAAACATTCAATACTTTTTAAATGTTAATGGAAAACTATTTAATGTTTAACATTAAATTTAATGGATCAAATAAATTGGTTTTTTTTAAATATATGAAATTCCCTCATTTTAAAGTCATCATCTTTTAATGACCCAAGAAGCATTTGGTCAGAAAAAGATGTCTTTAATTTTTTTTAAATGTTCATAAGACATTTTCAGACTAAATACCCACTGAAAAGCAAAGGAAAGAATTTATTTTTCCACTTTAAAAATAGATCCTGAATAATGTCAATCATTAACATTTTTAAGTTTAATATTTAATTAATGATATTTTCAAAATATTAAAAATAATTTTTTGATTAAACCTTGGAAGATTTTGTTTAGAGATGCGAATTTAAAAATGTACTAGCAGCCAACAGTTGAGTCAGAAAGTAAGTTTACTGACCAGATTGTCAACATCACTTAGTTTGTTTTCTGAAGAATGTTTGTTGTTGAATGAGAAAGATGGTTTTAATGAAATATATATAATTATATAAACAAATAAGTTTTTCCTTTTTTTGTGTCTTTAGTTTTCAAACTTTGATTATAACATTTGAAAAAAATTTGTGCCAACCTGATGTTTGCCAACCAAAACAATACACACACACACACACTCACACACACACACACACACACACACACACACACACACACACACACACACACAAGGTGTTAACCAAGAATAAATTTGATCCTGCGTTTTGACAAAATTGGGAATTTATTAAAATATTTCCTAAATCATCTCCCTGAGGTTTGAAAATAATAAACACGAGCTCATAAATTTCATATTTCATATTTATTGAGTTAATTTTTTGAGTTCATTTATAGAGTTGAGTTCATTTATGAATTCATTTTTATAATTAATATTAATTTTATTTATACATTAATTGCATAGCGAAATAAAGTTACAATAACAAATTCTCAGCAAAAACTTCAACAAACATCGTTTAATTACAAAAAAATATTGGTCAAGCGCTTGCACGCTATCATGGCAACAAAAAATATTAATAATTATTTTTTTGTTTTGTGGTCGTAAAATGTTATGACTGGTTCATTCAAACATTCAAATTTGCTTTTTCGTTTTAAATTCAAGCAAACAGTGAATCCAGTTTTCTTGATTTTTAAATTTCTTGTTTATTGTAATAAATAAAAAAATTCTTGTTATTAAACGTATTTAATTTTTGTTTTAATATATGTATTTATTTTCCTTTTAAATAAAATCATGCAGTAAAGTAAAGAAATCTATTTTCCTCATTAAATAAATTTCTAGTACCAGTTTGTTAGAATCATAAAACATATTTTGTATGAAACTTGAATTTCTTTTAAAAGAAATTAGTATAGAAAGGATAGTAGATAAATAAAAAATGTTTTTAGTCAATGCGATCACGTAATTGAGTTGATATATAATACCAAACAAAAAAAGATAAACAATAACTTTAAGACCTATCATAATATCTGTAATTAATCAAAATTTCAAAAATATCTGGCATAGGCAGTTTCTCAATATTTTTGTTGACTAAGCACATGTAATACTTGAAGTAGAGTTTGCAATAAGACTTAATAAGTTATTTAACTTTTCAGCCAAAAAAAAAAATTTCTAAAGAAATAGTACTTGTAGATGTTAAACCAAACAAGTTTGTTATTTTTTTAGATTGTACTCTATTTCTTGCTAAGTTTTTTATATAATATTTGTTGTTGTTAAAATGGATTGCAAAACTTTATTTGCAAATTTTGAGAAATGAATTTTACAAGCAAGTTGCAGAGAAAATCCCTAAAATTGCTAAATTTGAGGAAAACCCAATTCTGAAGTTTTTTTAAAGAATCACTTTCTAAGTTATGCAATTGCGTGATTATACCAACAACTGCAATTTTATTTCAAGTTTTACACTATTAAAAAAGAGTTTTTTATTTTATTTTTCTATTATTTTTTTAGAAACTACTCATTTTCAATTATTTTTAGAATTATTATTAAACTTTAATTTGGCAAACTTTATTTAGAAAATGGGATTAAAATCCCAATTTAACTTTAAATTGGGATTTTAAATTTTTTGAGCATTTGAGAATATCGTGTTTAACGGGGCCTAACAGGGCTAGTTAAACACAATATTCTCAAATATATATATATATATATACATATATATATATATACATATATATATTTATATATATATGTATATATATATTTATATATATATATATATATATATATATATATATATATATATATATATATATATATATATATATATATATATATATATATATATATATATATATATATATATTAAATAGATAAGTAATGTATAAGTTTATCTGGGTAATATATATTTAAACAAAATATAAGGTTAACTTACTCATAATAATTTAATGATACATATAATAATTTGATTAAAATGTTTTTAAATTCACATATCAATAATGAAACCCAAAAATGGTCTTTGACTGAGTCCTTACGCCAATATTATTTTAAGTTTTTGATTAAGACACTCCACTGTTTTATGCACTTTTTTATTTACTTAGTAATATGAAGTTAAACTAGTAATTTTATAAAATGTTCTGTAATAAATATTATTTATCTATGAAATAGATTATTGCTTTTACTGATGCTTTTTTTTCTCCCCTAGCTAGTTGAACTTTCCAAAGCTCAAGATGTAGAAGCTGGTGATGGAACAACCTCTGTAGTGGTGATTGCTGGAAGTCTTCTTTCTGCAGCACAGAAACTTCTGGATAAAGGTATACATCCAACTATTATTTCAGAATCCTTCCAACGTGCGTCATTAAAAGCTTGTGAAATAGTAACTTCGATGTCTATGCCTGTTGATCTCTCTGACAGAGATACTTTATTAAAAAGTGCTACAACATCCTTAAGTTCAAAAGTAATTATTTTTTAAATTGTTATCTATTACACATCTTTTATTTAATTTAAGTTTATAAGCTATGTATTAATTTTCATTATATTGTGTTTTAACTATTTCATTTGCTTTTTTTTTAGGTTGTGTCACAATACTCTGGTTTGCTTGCTCCAATTTGTGTTGATTCAGTTCTCAAGTTGGTTGATCCTGCAAAAGACTTTAATGTTGATTTAAGAGATATTAAACTTGTCACTAAACTAGGGTTAGTATACTTTGAATACATGCAATATATGCCATATTTAGAAATAACAATTTTTCAGTAAGAAATATAGGCTAAATTAAACAAGATTTAAATTTTATTCAAATTTTAAACAACAAAAACTTTTTAAAATTTAAAATTTTTTTGGTCATATTTTGAAAGCTGCTTACTGAAAAATTTTACTGAGGGGTGGCTTAGGATTACAGTAATTGTAGATAATAATTGGGGAATAATTATAAATTAAATGTTAAAATATAAAAGTTGAATTTTATTTTATCAGAGGTACAGTCGAAGATACAGAACTTGTTGATGGACTAGTACTTGACCATAGGATTTCTCACTTTGCTGAGGGTGTTGCTCGTGTCGAAAAAGCCAGAATAGGACTGCTTCAATTTTGTATTTCTCCACCAAAAACAGACATGGAAAATAATGTGATAGTTAGCGATTATACACAAATGGATAGAGTATTGCGTGAAGAAAGGGTTTATATTTTAGAAATTTGCAAAGCAATTAAAAAAGCTGGCATTAATGTTGTCTTCTTGCAAAAATCGATTTTAAGGTTTACCAGTAATTTTTTTTATCAAAATATAAATTAAAATAGCAAATAGAAATGTAATAACGACTTTATTAAATTTGTTATTATAAATTCTAAATCTTTCAGGGATGCAATAAATGATATGGGTCTTCATTTTCTGGGGAAAATGAAAATAATGGTTGTCCGAGACATTGAAAGGGATGAAGTAGAGTTTATTTGCAAGGTTATTGTTTATTTAAATGTTTGTTTTTTTAGTTATTTTTTCAAACCAAAATAAATCCCCAAAATTATAAATTTATAAAATAATTAATAATATTTATAGACTCTAGGGTGTCGTCCCATAGCTAGCGTTGACCATTTAAATCCTGATATGCTTGCTAGTGCTGACTTAGTTGAAGAATATTCAACTGGTGCTGCTAAAGTTGTTAAGGTAGGTTTTTTTTTACCAGTAACTTTTTTTTCTATTAAACGTGAAAAAAATTTTAGATTTATATTTTTAGAGCTGTATTTATTTGTCAAAAATTATTATATATTTTCATAAATTTACTGATTTAAGGTTACAGGAATCGCTAATCCAGGTAAAACTGTAAGCGTTCTTGTACGCGGTTCCAATAAACTTGTGATAGATGAAGCAGAGAGATCCATCCATGATGCTTTATGTGTTATTCGATGCTTGGTGAAAAAGCGGTATGAAATGTTTTGTTGATGTTTTTTCTTTTTTTGAGGGATTAGGGAAGCAAAGGAGATAAGATAATGGAATAAAAACTATAACAATTTAGTGTCAATTATTTTATTAATTTTAAGAGTTAAAAAAATTTTTATAAAAGCATAAAAATTTATATTTTTATGCTTTTATAACCTGGAGGCTAATTTTATTCTTTTATAACCTGGGAGCTAGATTTATGCTTTTATAACATGTGGACTAGTTTTAAATTAAACATTTAATTAAACATAATATTTCAAAATACGTCCAAAAAAGTTATGACCCTATTACTATTTTTATTAAAATCTGAAAAAAGCTATAATAATAAAAATTATTTTATTTTTCATAAATGAACACCAATCGAGTTCAAATTATCTCATTCTTCGCAAATGATTTGTTATGATGTATAACAAAAAAATTGTCTATAAATTTGACAGTTTCTTTGAATCACAAACGCAATAAAATGTATTCTAAAAACGATGCTACATTCTTCAATAAAAATTCTTTCAGTTGCTATTTATTTTTCTTATTCTTTATAAATGTCTTTAACAATATGCAGTTACACAGTTTTTAAGTTTTGTGTTGTATTCCAATTGAATATCTCTTTTGTAAGCACCAGTTTCTCATAGCTTAATGAAATTGTAATGAACAGATTCTGATGCTTGTTCACTATAAAAGCCAAATCCTTTTGAATAATTCTTCTAAGTGGATTCTGAACCAATTTTCAAGAAATTGGGTTATGCGCTGGAGCAATATTATGTGCTGTGTTATGTGGAGTGGGTTATGTGCTGGAGTTGCACTTTTGGAGTGATTGAAAGTTCAAGATCTCTGTATGCAATTTCAAATAAAGAGGTGGCATCTTTTTACTCTATCAAAACTATTACCAAAGCATGGTTTTACAACTTCACTAAAAGCTCTGAAAGCTAACTTTTGTTCCTTGCGATCCAATTTTAGTACTGGCTTAAGTAAGTCAATTTTATTCAAGAGTTTAGTTTTTGACATTGGTTACCATTGAGTTCCCCTCCATGCATTTTGAGGCCTTTAGATGCCCAATTTATTTGATCAGTCAGTAGCTTTAAAGAAACAAGAAGCTGTTTGATTCAAGATATTGATCAAAAAAGTAGTTGGTAATTTCAAGAACCATGTGCAATTCTATGACAGGCAGGAAATTTGAACAACGGTGTATTGCCCCCCCTCCTCCCTGAAGGGAGGGGGCAATACACCAAAATTAGCTAAAACAATAAAGTAATACTAAAAATCTACTTAATAAATAAAAAAAAAGGTCCATTGCTGTGTCTCATAGTATTTTGGTAGGAACCATAAGTTGCTAAAATAATAGTTGTTTAATGCCCTTGGTTATCATCAAAGATATCTACAAAATATAGTTTTAATAACTAAAAACAAACCAATTTTATTTTTCAAATTTATAGTTTAGAATTATTAATTTTGATAAAAACAATCATAATTTTTTTGGGCGTCCTAGAATATTTTTGAAAATTTGTAAAAAACACCTTTACATTTTTACCAAAACTTTGGTACAAACATTTTCTCTAGCACTTTTTTCTACCCGCTATTTCATTTTACCCTGTTTTATTCTACAATTTATTATTAAATAAAAATATTAAATTAAGTACAAAAAAAAATATTCTTTAAGTTCTTTAACTTTTTTTATTAAAAAAAAACGTCTAATATTCACTATAGATTTTTTTTTTCTTGTGGCTTTTAATTATTTATTAAGTAAAAACTATTATTTAATATTGAATTTATAATATATTGTCAGTTTAAACTTAAAATGATGTGATTCAAACAAATATTTATTATTACTAAACTTTTACTGATACAAATATTCAGTTAGTATAAACAAACATATAAACTTTTAAACATGAAAAAATATTGCATAAATCCTAATTTTTATGTTACCCTATTTTTTCCCAATTCCAATACTACTAATAATATAAAAGCTTTTATACTACATATTAATACTACATGTCAATACAAAAAAAATTGAAAATATTCATTTACAACAATTTTTTTTGTTTCTAAACAAAAAAAATTGGCGTTTTTTACTTGCAGTGTGTTTCAAAAATGAAATACAATGCAAGTAAAAATCAATCAAAAAGTTAAATCAACTATTCTCATGTTATATTTAATAAACATTACCATTTTGGAATGAGCTGCTGTTAATCAATTTCTTTATGAAGTTTACATTAGGGTTATGACTTTTAATCAATCCCATGCTCCTGTACAAAATAAACTATTATTTGCATATCTTTTCTGAAAAGTTCACCCCGCCATTGAAAAATCAATTTTGACATAAGTACTATGTATTTAAATGTATTTAGAATGTCAGTCATGTAATTTTCAATCCAATAATTACTCAGACCGTTGTCCTTGCTCTTACTTGTTGCACAAAAGGAATCAAAATTGCAATTTGTTTTTATTTTTGCATGATTAATAAATTTCCTCCATTACTTTGATTGCGCGCTCTGTGCATTGATTACTTCTGGGTATCTGTAGTATGGATGGTTCTCACTTTCAGTGATTTTTAAAGAGCTTAAAGCCTTTTCGTATGGATTCAGTATTTCAACCAAGTTATTAAAGTCGTTTTCATTGTACAGTTGGTCTGTAAATCAATGGTCTGTCCAGCCATACAATATAAATCGACGGAATTGAGGATAGTAAATATAAATTGTTTTTATATTTACTATCCTCAGAGTCAGAATCACTAAAACAAGGATAGTAAAATGATGAGTTGATCACTCATTAAAAAGTTTTTGTCTTTTAGAGGGATGGATTGTTTCTTTACTGGCCGCTTGGCCTGTAGAGTATCCCACGATTCTTTTGCTTTCCACTTGAAGATGGTACAATTGCTTGTCCATGGAAGATAACCTTGTTCCATCCACTTTAGTAATATCAAAAATTTCAGGGGTTCGTAGCTTCCCCGCTTGACATATTCATCATAACATTTCAGTATTATATCAAGCTTTGTTTATTTAACTTGATCAGATACATGAGGAAAGTTCAGTTTATTCTTCCACAATTTGGTGACTTCTTTGGAAATTTCTGCTATTTGCTTCTTTCTTCCTTTGATTTTTGGTCCAAGGAAATGGTAGCGTCCGTTAATTTGCTTATAAAGAGGCATTCTGCACTTTTCTTCCAGTGAATATTCTTCCAAAAGGACCATTCTTCTTTTATGAGAGTCTTCAAATTTTACCAGATTGGTCCAGACATCCTTGTTCTTCTGAATGCTACTATCGTTAGGCTTGTACGACGCCATGCGTTGCTTCTGTAATAACTATAAAATTAGATGTGCAACTATATATAGTCTAAAATGTTATAGAATGTTCCAAAATTTTAAATTGCTTTAGAATGTTCTAAATTGTTCCAGAATGTTTTAAGTTGTTCTAGAATGTTCTAAAGTCTTCTAAAATATTCTGTTATTTTCAAAAATATTCTAAAGTTCTAAATATTTCTAATCTATACTAGTTTTAAATAATTTGCAGGAAAGTCACGCATATTAATAATAGCAGTAACAAGATTAAATAAATGTCAAAACATAATTTGAATTACGTGGTGACATTTTTTTAAAACCAAGTGGAATTGAAAATATTTTCAATGTTTTCTAATAAAAATCATAGATTTATGACACTGGAAATTAATTTTTTTTTAAAAAGTCAAAAAGTCATAACCCTAGTGTACATATTTACCCTCATACTAAAGAATGTTTTTTTTTTATAACTTTTAAATGTTTCTTTTACTCGAGGAAATTGTTTTGTGAAAATTTTTTAACAATTCACATTTTGAATGAGTATCAATTTGTTTGCATCAAGTTTTTTGTTTACTTAACATTTTTAAACATTCATTAAATTAAGATAAGTATTATTCCAGAATGTTGGAACATTCATTCATCCTAACATAAGTGCTATTCCAGAATGTTGAAACATGCATTCATCTTAACATTAGATAAGTACTATTCCTAACATTAGATAAGTACTATTCCAGAATGTTGGAACATTTTAAACAAGTTTAGATGTTGTTTTTTTTGGAGAAAATGGTTTGATACGCTACTATGGCATAGTACTCCATGTTTTTCATTCAAAAATATAATCATTTATCAGAAATCGCAGCTTGTGTAAAAAGCAGACCTTATTTATATTTATTTTTCATTAGTATTTACTTTCTCTAACAGCATTAGCAGCATTATTTGATTATTTAACATATCATTTATAAATCAGCAATTATCTCTTCAATCAGTTAAGTGATGTTTGTCTTATGGAAAACAAAGATACTCTAACTTCAATAGCTTTTTGGTTAAAATGTTTTTATCTAAACAATGACCTGCTGTATTCATAAACTCTTTATTTGAAGTGTTTATCCACTGGTTGGTATGTAAAATAGTTATTTCAATGTTATAGGGATCCCAAACCTCCGAGACATGTGTTTATATTAAAGAAAATGATTTTTAAAAAAATGTTTGGGCTAAATTTTTGTTGATTAAAACAAAAGAATAAATGAATACCAAGAAAAACTAATTTTTTTATTTTAGCCAAAGCTCGCCTTCTCCATTTTATTGTCGGCCTAAAAGTCAGCATAATATACGTCTCAATCTACAGACTTGATAATTTATTCAAGCGCATTTTATTCCTAAGAGTTTCAGTACATGACGTCGTTGACTTTTTTGTTTGTTTACATAATTGATCTCTTACGCAAAAAAATAAAAATCAATGAAGTCATGTACTAAACCTCTTGAGATTGTATTGTTGTAAAACCTAATAATCCACAAAAAAAGTGCTAAATTAAAAAAAAAAAAAATTTCAATCTTTTATTAAAGAATGTACAATTTTAGTAAATTAGTAATTTAGCAAAATCTAATTTTATATTTTGCTTTTAACTCCTCTATTTAGCCTTTTTAGCACATATAAGATTTCGTATGTAAGATTTGTCTTTAGTGGTTATGATAAAACATACTTTTTGCATTATAAAGCATTATGGGTTATGTCACTGGATATTTGGAGATAGAGTTTCCATTTTGCTGCTGTTTTAAAAGTATTAAAAAGTTAATGACATCACTGTAGAATTTTGCAAAAATGAAAAGTGTAATTAAACTTATATAAGCTTTTCTTTAAAACATTTTTTATTTATAAAAATACATAGTATTTTGTTTTCACCGGCAATCAGCAAATCAAATGTATTATTTTTTCACTAAATCACAAAAATAAAATAGTTTTTTTAGCTACTTGTTTTTAACAAATGTCAGGACAATTTTTCAATTTATGTCTTCCTTATATTACATTTGTATTTTGTGCTTATATTACATTTACAGTTTAGGGTTTACTAGTAGGTAGGGTTCTCTGTAGTCAATATAAGTCATTTCACATTTTTTGTAAGTTTCGTTTGGAGTTACTAAGGGTTCACAAAAATTACTTTATACCAAATTTAAAAGTCTAGCCAGAGATCTTAAATGAGGTAAATATGCTTGATAATATATCTATCTTTGATTAGAGCACTCTAGCCTCTGGCTCAATTTTTAAGAAAAGGCAAAGAAGCCCTACTTGAATTATGCACTTCATAACAAAATCTTTGCTAGATAATTACAGCCAATTAGTCAACCTAAGTATATTCTTCCTTGGAGGAGTTATTAAGAACTTTAGATTCTTGCAGCCTGGTGCAATTCATGAGGCGAGGTTAATGGTTGACGCAATATATTATAACAATTCCAATGACCAAAGTTACACAAAAGTGAACAGGTGACAAGGAGGAACAGTTTAACAATGCCAGCTTTTTCGTAACTGTTACATTTATCTCATGGTTCCTAAAAGTTAGAATAAAAGACTGCTTCAAGATGCTTCTTGTTAGCATTAAAGACTCTTATGAGCTAAAGAATTTTAGGAAGTATATAGATCTTGAAATGGTCTAATAAAAAGCTTAAAACGTCACACATAGCATTTAGATAAAGTTGTTCTTGGGTTAGCAGAAAAAGATCTGCCTGATATTAATAAAGTAGAAATGATAAAAAATTTGCTTATCGATGTTAAGAGATTTATTTTGTTTTACCCACAAAAGTTCTTAATTTGGACAATGATCTGATACTTCCTTACCTTATTGCTCCAGAAAGCTGAATCCTTTTTGACATAGTTGATATTTCTAACAAAGGTGTTAATCAATGGTTTAGGGGAAATTCTGGTTGCTTGGAGAGCTTTTTTATGAACTAAAAATTTGTTTAGCTCATAAAAAACATGCAAGTAACAAATGACTGTGCCCAAATAAATATTTACTTCATTCAAGATTTTTTTGAAAGTAAATTTGAAGACCAAAAGCAAAATGTGATACTTGTAGCAGGAGAGGAGAGAAAGATGCCTAGTAATATTACCAATAAAAACTTTAGTTGTTAGGAAAAAAATCTAGGAAAAAAAATCTGAAATAAATCAACAAAAAAAGTGCAAAATAAGAATTGGAGGAGCTGTGTAACTTTTGTGTAAAATTGTGTAACTCTGCAATAATGATTTTTAATTGTTAATGTTTAAATAAAATTTTTTTTAGCAAATCAAATCCTTTTTTTTTTTTTTTTTTGAGAGTTTAGGTCTTCAATAATTTTTGGTTTTAATATAGAGTTTATTTAAAAATATTCTCCATAAATATTTTTTTCCATAAAAATTTGAAAAAATTAAGTTCAACCTAATCCTGTTACATGTGATCTTATGAGCTGAAATTTTAACATGATCCATTTGATGTAAATGAAAAATAATAGTACGATCTATCTGATGTAAATGCAAAGTATAGTATCCCTGGGTTTTAACTTTTGTTATAATATGTCACAGGCTATTGTACATTTTACATGTACAATGTTAAATGTACAATAAATTATAATAAAATGTACAATGTATATTTTATAGAATTTTAGATATAGACCAATGCCCTCCTTGTTGCACAGTTTGAAAACTATAGTTAAGGTTTTTAAAGTGTTTATATTCTGTATTTTATTCATTTTTGTTTAAATAATCTAATCATTGTTTTAATTTTGTCGGGTCTATTTACCAATTTTTTAATGTTTTTCTCTTATTGAAATGTTATTTATTAAAAATTTATTTCAATAAACAACAGTATTAATGATGGACATATTTATGAATTATTTAATTTTTATTATAAAATATTGACAACTAGGTCATTTTAATCTAACTTCAATCTAATTTCGATATGGATAAAAAAATTTATTAACAATTTTATTTTTCAACTAAATTTTTAAATAAAATAACAATTTTAAAAAAAAATTATTTTAGCAAATAATGTTGAAGTTTTTTAAAAAATGTTTTTTTTTTTTTTTACCTAACGAATTAAAAACAAAATTTAAAAACTAAAATATGATTCAGTATTTACAGCAATACTTATTTTTATTGACATCAAATAAAAACTTTTTATTTAGATCAGATTTTTTTAAAAGAAAAAATTATCAAGCTGAAAATTATTTTTGCCAAAAAAGTCTGATGTTAGAAGTAATTAATTTTCTTGTTAATATTTAAATAAACAATTTTTTAGGCAACTTGAAAACAAAACTTGAAACTAATTTTTATCTCTAAACTTATTTTTAGGGTTCAAGATATAAACAGAACTTGTCAGGGACAACCTTTAAGTGGTAGATTTACCAGAAATATTAAAGAATAAAAATTATGACTAATGCTTATAAGTGTTATTATAATATATAAAAATTAAAATTATATATTAGTTTTAATATATAAAAGTTATTAGAATAATTATTTAAAACTGTAACCTTGAAATAAAGTTTCCAAATATAAATTTGGGTAGTAGTATTAGTATCGAAAACAGAAAAACTGAATAATTTTTTGATACTAGTCCAAAATCCAAATTAAGATATTATTCCTTATTGGCATTATTGACATTCCTTCTATATGAATTTTTTTTTCCCCTGATATTAATCCGTTTTTTTCGAGCATTTTTTTTTTTTTTTGATACTATTCTGCTTTCCCATTAATTTCATTTTGTTTTTTTATTTATTAGAGCATTGTTGGCTGGAGGAGGTGCCCCTGAAATAGAATGCAGTGTAAAGCTTTTAAGTTATGCAAAAACATTAGTTGGAGAAGATGCCATTTGCTTCAGAGCCTTTGCTGAAGCACTTGAGATAATTCCTTACACTCTTGCTGAAAATGCTGGTTTGACACCAATCTCTGTTGTGACTGACCTTCGTAATAGACATAACAATGGTGAAGTTAATGCCGGGATCAATGTTCGAAAAGTAAGATGAATCTTTATAAATATAAATATTGTTTTTGTTATAAAGCACTAAGTTATTTTTCAATTAATTTAGGGATGTGTAACAAACATGGTAGAAGAGAATGTTCTTCAACCACTTCTTATAACTCTTTGTGCAATTTCATTGGCTGCTGAGACTGTTAGGAGCATCCTTAAGATAGATGATATTGTAAGTGTTTATTTATAATAATATAAGTAAAAAATATATAAGTAAATGTAATTTAGATTTTTGAACCGATTATATTAATTTTTATTTAAAAAGAAACTTTGACAGTCTACAATCTGATTTTTTTGAATCCTGTTTTGTACTGAGTTTTTTTACCCTAGTTATGGATTTGAATAAACTAAAAAAAGATTTAATTAAAAAAAATTATTTTGGTACCAAAATCAAACAAATAAGAGAATTAAATTCAAAAACTTTATTCAAAAAAAAAAATTCGTTAAAAACATGAGGTTGCTGTTTAGCATTACGCGATTAAAAATTTTAGAAAACTTTCTCAAATTTTTATTCACGTAAAGCTAAGCAATTTACTTCAAAAATGAGTAGTTGTTTGGCTTTACATTAGAGCAAAATTGCAAAATTAATGCAGTTTTTATTTACGTAAAGATGAGTAAAAGCAATTGTTTTTTTTTTATTCACCCGGCCTATTGATAAAATATCTTTGATAGAGTTTTTGACGTTTCTTCCAATTCTCGGTGAATCTATTACGTCAATAGTTTTGAATAAACGTACTTTATAATTTTGAAACATTAATAACAATTTTAATTTGTTTTAATTTAACATTAAATTATTCAGAAAGGATAAATAGAGCCACTAAGTGTTATATATCATTAGAAAACTAATTGGTTATTTAACTCAAAAACTAAAAAGGTAAACAGATAATGCAAATAGCCATCAAAAAAATCTAAGTGTTTTCGAAATCCACTGTAGTAACAAAAAAGTTGATAATTATATTAATTTTATTATATTTTTAATGTTCAATTTTTAAACATGCAACAAAATGAATTTACCGATTACACGTTGTTATAAAAAATGAGAAATTATCCATTTACGTATTCATGCATAAAATGGTGGAGAGAGAGATAGAGTTCTATAACAGAATATGAAAATTCTTTAAAAAGTTTAAATGATAAAAAACTTATTTTTTTTTTCTTTTAGACATTCATTCGTTGATTGTTTTTGGATATGCTTTCATCGAACTCGTAAGCGTGCCTGTTCATTCTAGCGCAATTATATTGCAACAAACTTTAAATGGATCGGATCCAAATACTCTCTAATTGTACCATACATCAGACCGAACTCTTAAACGCTTTTGTATTGACAATCATTGTTAGATAAAATTCTTTTTGCAATTTAATAAGTTTAAATCTGTATCAGCGGGCGCGGCTTTAGTACTCGTTTCGCGGGCTATCATTGCGACAGGTATTAGTATCCGTTTTAATGCTTCTACGTTAAATGTGGAGCAACTACTGTCTATCAGCGGACCGTGTGTATACTTGTAAGTATCCTGTTAAAAGTGGAGCAAGGTAGTATTTGTTGTATGCGAATTTTTGATAGTTAGAAATGGAACATGCTTTATTTATTTACAAGATTACATACGTAGTAGTATTTTAAAATTTTTACTGATAATCAGTTTTTAATTTTATTTTAATCTAACAAATGACTTATCAAGCTATTACAATCTTATTACAAGATTTTCTAATGTGTAATTTTTTTCTTAAAACCGAGTTAACATTTAAAGCTTTCAAAGTTTATAAACGTCGCATGCACAGGCTGACTAGCAACCTAGAAAAGTCAAGGAAATTCTAAACTAAGTTTATAATCAGGGATTAAATAAAGTTTTGCTGAAGTTAGGGAATTTTAATTGTTTCAGTTACAAAATATATACCGTAAAAACCCCTAATTCCTGATGGTTTAGGACTTAAATTGTCATAACTAGCTCAATATAAAGAATTTTGAAATAATTTTTTTAAATAAATGAACTTCGTAACAAGACAAATCGAACGATATAAAAAAATATTATTTTGCGATATAAATCTATCTTTTATTTTATTTTTAAAAAATATTGTTTTTATCCGGAATTAGGTGTTTATGTCCCTAATTCCGGATGCGTATAAAATACAGAAAAACACATACACAAATAATACTAACATTAAAATAATTATTTTAATGTTAGTATTATTTGTGTTATTTAAATGAAATCATTTAATAAAAAAAGAATATATATTATTTTACACACATTCGTTACAAATAAACTCCATGGCTGGACGATAATCAAAGACACATTCAATGCATGACCAATTTTAACACTGCTCACACGCAAGCCATTGGTTATCTAAGTTATTTGTCCAATTAATTTGCAAGAATAACATAGAAGATCATCAGATACTAAAATGTTATTTGAAGCTTGAGGAAATTAAGGGTCTTCTAATCCATTCTTTGTCTTTATATCTTTTTTACCTGGTATTTTAGACGACTGACTTTGTCTCAACTTTTTTTTTTTCTTCTCTTTTCTGTGCATTTTTCGCTTTTTGAGTAGCAGTGGAAATCTTTTTTTGCTCTCTAGTAAATTTCTTTGCAGCTTGTTCATCTAATTTTTGTTTTTTTGATGCTTGTTCAGCTTCATCGTAAGCTATGGCATCCGCCGAAGTCATATTATAATTAGCTGGTCGCTTTATTCTCTCACTTTTTTGAACTCTTTTATTTAGAGTTGGTGTCAATTGATCTCGAAGCATATTTAACACTGATTTGTTTATATCTTTGCCCACTTGTTGGACAGCGTTATTCAAAGTAGAAAAGCTTTTAAGCAAAAATTCACGATTTGACATTCTTGACGGTGTGTTAGGTGTAATGGTAATATTTCCCATAATTAATGGACTAGATACTGTTGAAGAATCAAATAAACTTTCAATATTGTTGTTTTCGACAGCTTGAAACACAGCACCAATGGAAGTTTTTTTTGAAGAAATTTGCGAACGATCGAGTGGAAATATACCAGTATTTTTGAAACCACTCCGTGCATTTTCAGGTTTAAACCCACCATTTTCGATGAGATCCTTAAACATGGCCGGAAAATGTCGATTAGTCAGGCTTTGAAAGTGATTTTTAGTCAAATAACTTTCGACAATTCTCTTCCATGCGCCTTTTACTGTTTTAAAAACGCCAACATCTAAGGCTGTAAAAAATGGCTGGTATGAGCCGGCAAACGCCAAAGTAAAATATAATTTTCTAAAGCTTTTTTTTTTCAACTCTAAGCTCATATGTGAAGCATGGCCATCAAGTATTAGAACTTTAAATCCTGAAAGTTTGTTTGCGTGAGGCAAAAAAACTGTTTCAAACTACGACAAAAAATGTTCGGATTCCATCTAGCCTGAACTACTACTGTTATAATAAACATTCTGGGCACCGCCTTTGCACCAGTCTTTCATAACATGTTTGCTTTTATAAATAATTTGACGAGGTAAGTAATTACCGAATGCGTCACAACAAGTCAAGATTGTCGTCATTTGCTTTTCATTCGATGGTGCTAGCTTTTTAGGGTTTTTTGTTCCTTTTCTACAAATAATTTTGACATTGCCTTGATCAAATTGCAAACCAGATTCATCACAGTTAAATATTTGAAACGGATTATCGCCTAAATTATGTACATTATATGCTACTGCTAATTGCTCAAACCAATTGTCAATTATAGCTGGTTGTGTGGCCACAGCTCTAATAGTTTGCGTACCGCTTACTTTCCTTGGGCAAATTTCTTTACGATATTTATTCACGAAACCGGAGTACCATTTTCTAGTCGGTTTGCCGTCTTTGAATAGACTACGTTGCACAGTGGGCCAAAATCATTATTAGCTGGACAAAATTAATAACTTTTAAAATATTTATCAGGTTTTTCCCATAATTAGCAGCTTGAGTATATTTCATATAACAAATCTAATGGCACCATTAGATTGTTTATTTGGTTGCCATGGATACCTATATTTCATGTCAACAGGCATTTTGCATAGTTACCTAAATAAAAAGACTTTCTCAAAATATCAAAGTTATAAACTAAACTGATATTAATGCTACATTGCTATTTTATGTATTTGAATGATAACACAAACAAAAAATTATCAATTTTTGGTGTTACTATGCTGTTATGTGCTCTTAGAAACCAGTTGGTAATTTTTTTTGAAACTTTTTCTTAATTCAAAATTTCTTTAAAAAATGAAATAAAAACTTTTAAAACACTCTTAACTATAAAGGTTTACAGGAACAGTTAATTAAATTTTAACCGTATAGTTTAGATACCCTTAGCAACCATATAAAAATAAGCAAGTTTTTATGCAATTAGAGATACAAAAAATTTTATAACGAATATATAAGAAAACAAACTTTTATATTCATTATTTTATTATGTAAATATTAAATACTTATAAAGTAAATACCATCTTAAACACCAACGAAAATCAAAACTATGTCATTGACACTTAGTCAAAAATTGGAACCTCTTTAAGAAGATCAAAAACTCCATTTGGAAGAGCGTTTTTCTTAGGATGATGGGGTTTTCTCAAACTACTTATCAAAGGGTCAGAAGAACACATTAGTCGCCTTAATAAATCTTCGTTTGTTTTGGAACGCGAACACTTTCTAGAAAATGATTCTCGAAATTTCTTAAAATTTTTATTTTGAGCTTCTTGTGCCTCTTCGCTGAGCATGCCAATAGGCAAAGCCATTCTCTCTACAACTTGCCAACCATGAATAAGAATGTGATGCAGACTCTGTGGCATATGATACCATGGATAAAGGATTACATACTTCTCAGCTGTTTTGTAGCAGTATTCTCTAAATAGTGAAGAATCAATTAGAAAGTTAGATGACAATGTACACAAAATCACATGCAACATCTTTATCATACTGACATCAAGTTCAAGAATTTGAGCAGACTTCTCTGCATTCTGAAAAAATTTTCTAGCAGTGTTTCCATTATTTGAAGACCCAGAGCCACCAGATGTTGGCATATCAATTATCAGTCCAACTTCATCACGAAACCTTATCTGGATTTTCTGTTTTCGTTCTTGAATAATTTTCTTTTCAGATATAGTTCTTGTAGCCCACTTTTACACTGTCAATTTATAACTAATTTTAAGAAGACATTCCATGCTTTTAATCCAAGCATGGAGAGTTGAAAGACCGAAGCAGAGACCTATCTCTGTCAATGGCATATTTTTAGCTGCATTAAGATCATTCATTTTTTTTGGGCTGCATCCACAAACAGAACAACACTGAGAAGATGTAGTTGCTGTAGATAATGCTGTAGCAACTTTGCCGTCCACCATCGTTATTTCAATTTTATGAAGTATTGCTAAGTTTTCACAAAATGTTAAAGACAAATTTGCAATTGAATTGTTAATAAACTGATTCTCTTGTTTCAAAACTTCAATGGTTTCTTTTTTAAATGAAAATCTTATTGGTCTGCAATATAAAGTTGAAGATGGATGTGGATTAGACCAAATTATTATTTTTTTATCATTAATGAATCCAAACAACTGAAGTGGAACAAAACAAGAAATAAACAAACTAGCTTCTTCTAAAAGATCTCTGTTTTCTTTCTCAACTGTTACTTGATTATAAATCCTTTGGCTAGTTGATCCATCAAACCCAACTTTAGAATATAAAGTCAACCTTTCAAGATCATTCATTGAATCAATAACTTGTTTCTGCAACTGTATTAGGCGTATTGCTGTATGATCGACTAATGCTTGAAAGTTTATTTCTGCTGAAAAATCATTTACAGTCCATAATGTTTTTTCAGGAAGACACTGTTCTTTAGCAGCACGAACATTATTGTAAGCAGGATAGAGATTACAACCTTTGCTCAAAGCATTATTTCTCAAGCGTTGGTAATCAGATTTGCTCATATCAATATCTAATATGAGTGCTAGAGCTTCATTTAGAGTGTTTTGAGTATGTTCTGTATCAAAAGGTTGCTTAATAGATAAACTTCGAACTACTTTTGCATCCTTTCTTCTGCTATCTTTAAAAAGATTACAACTACTAGCATACAACAGTTCATTTGATGAACAAGTTAATAAGTCCATAGCTGCTACTTTACGACTCTTTGTCTTATTTGATGAATCATCAAATAATTTTACAGGTCGACCACTAACTATAGATTCAGTTTTATTATCCTGATTTTTAAATGACTTAATAAAGTCTTTTTGAAGCCATACTGAATTATGTTTCATAAAGTTTTCATCAATTCTTTTACTTAAAGACCAACGTTTACGATACTTGGACAAAAAGGTTACAAACTGAGCATCAAATTCAGAACAGTATTCACGAATAAAATTGTAAACATAAAGTTTGTCTTTTTCA